GCTAATGACTAAAATTGTTTCACAATATGGATATATCTTTGATTAATGGACAAGAGCTGTGAGAGACTTTCAGTGAAATTCTTTCCGACTCCTTAAGTGAAAAAATATACATTTCAAACCATTTCAACATGTTACCACATTGCCAGTTTCTAGTAACGCCCACCAAGCCGAAACAGAATACACTATTGTTTGTCAAAATCAATAATGCTGATTTTATAACTTTGTACTGAAATATATTTTCCGTTCCACAATGTAAGGACATTCAAACACCATTAACAAACAGCTGGTAGTCTGCTAAGAAATCTATATCTTGAAATCACTCAAACACAATTCATCCAAAGTTGGTTGTAATCCATTTGAAAAGACCAACACATGGTTATTGACCAGGTATTGATACTTTCGTCTAACAGCAACAGGATTACGTCTGCACAGATTGTGCCATCCATCATTGAGTGTTTTGTGATAAGATTACTGACATTGTGATTTCACATTCTGAACTGAAGCGCAAGGAGCTCCCACCTGAACAGCCGGTAATGTTTATATAGACAATACATACCATACTTTCATTAAGTGGAACAATGGACTAAGTATTTGGAAATGATTAAATAAATAATCACAACAGTATGATGAAGATTTTGCACTCACCTAATTTTGAATTTTGAGTGAGTGAGTCAGTTGATACTACTTTTACTAGTTTTAGCAACATTCTAGCATTCATTTCTGTGGGGACAGATATATTTATATACATAAAAACTTTAACGGAAAACAAATAAAAGTGTAGCCTCTGGAATTGTGTGGAAAGCAGAAAATGTGTGTGCACATGTAGGAATGATTACTGCTATTTCATAATTTGGTACCACCTTAACTGCATTTCCATGTTATTGTTAATCATTAAAAAAATACAATACACAGTCAATGGCTTTCCGGTCTCGGTTGATGAATTCCATATCTATATTTATTAGGCTGTGCAATCTTATGTGTTGTGGTAAACAAGAGCATTCAGTTTTGACATTTCTTTGGGGTCGTTGTGTAAAAGTAAAGCCAAACAGTATTGTATCCCACGAAAGGCCCATGACACAATACACTAAAAGTCTAATTTGCAACACTTGTATCATTTGTGTATCGCACAGCTTAATATACACAGATTTTTAATGTGATGCAGATATGTGTGTCCGGTATGCACAGTTGTCTAGAATAGAAATGAGAATAAAATAACATCTGCTCTAGCAATTCACGACAAGAAACATAAAGTTCCCGTAATTATAGTAATCACTAAATCTTACAATAAAGTATGATACACCATTTCAATCCTTTACAGGACCCTCATATTTCCAGTAAGGACCCATATCTTCGGTACGGTAAAACCCTGATGACGTTAGAATTCATATGGGTGTAAAAATACATGAATGAAAAGAAATTCAGCCTCATTTAAAATCAGATCTTAGTTCTAATTATTGCTAAGCACAGATCTTTGAGTCGCCTGAACCCTCAAAATAAAAAATAAAAATACATCCCCGATGGGGAACACCAAAAATGTGTCATACATTATACCCTTATGGAAAATCCACCCAGGTCCTTTGGTCTCACAAGAAAATGGTTTAACCATGAGGCCACCCCATAAGAGTTTTTAAGACAATAACTTCATCATATGTTGAAAAATATTACTGTATCTTCTAACACTGTACTGGTACACCACTTTTAGTCCACATTTAGAATAAAGAAGAATCTGGGACAATTTCCCCCTTCTGACAAGAAACTTAACCTTATGTGATAATTATATCTTAGTAGCAACAAAAGGTAATGTTAAAATGGCTAATATTAGGGACAACCAAAGACTGACTAATTGTTAGCACTGAATCTTGGTCATCTGATAGTTTATTATATTAAATGTGGACACACAAGCACTGGCCCTTGTGAATTCTGACCATGGTGACAAAGAGGTTTGTTACAGACAATAATTGGGCTATGATCTCTTTGTACATCAGGATCTTACTACATCACCAATAAATTGGCAATAATATATCATGATATATATTAATACATGCAAAATCTGAGGATCATTCATCATATTGATAATTGTTGTGTACCAAACCATATATCCGGTGTTTATCAACTGTGCTGTTGTTAAAAACAGTTTATTAACACTGATTAAGATACAAAATTAACAATTATCCCAATGTAGGGTGAATTTTACATTCTGTGCTGGCCCTAGTTAGATCGTCACATGCATACTCATGTCCAACATGAAATATATAGGGACTCACAAGGCCTTCTCACATCCCTTATTCTGCAGTAAATGTCAGTAAACATTCCCAGTTCATGCTAATATAGTTATAAGTAGTATGATGGCTTTGTCACAATGACTTGTATTTTACAAACAAAAAGGACCAAACAAGAAAGAGAACATGGAATGCTTATTGTACATTATTGACTGAACATGTTAAATGCAATGTTACAATATAATGTCAACACCTCTGAAATAAAAAACATTTAAAAACTCAAATTTGGAACAAAATATCAATATTTTTAGTTTGTTTGCCAAAGGGCACTTAGTTGACTTACAAATCATAGATACATTACGGTTACATAACATTTTACAGACCATTATTCACCATGTTTTGCTGAACAGGTAGAGCTCAACATATCAATTATCACATTTTCAGGATGGCACAGAACATGTACGATATAGTCTCATTATATCATATTATTCTGGAAAAAGAACACAACTGTTATGAAGAAAGCAACACCACATAAGAAATTAAATTTGCATGTTTTCCTTTTGTTACAAATATCAGACTTTGAAGTGTGATTTAATACTTTCCAAATGACAAAATTGAGCATGTTAAATCTCTGATGTGATTGTGTACTGCTGGTGTTGTTCAACAAAAGTACAATTACAAACTATGACACACTTATTAGTCATCTATGTCAAAATCAGATGTAGAAACCCACTATAATAAAAAATAATACATTATTCCATCAGAGTGTATTCCTATCAAGTTGGCAGATTTATAGAAAGAGGGTGTTACTCTCTATGACACATAATTACGGATATGTTTGTTTTTACTTTGTCACGTTGACCTGTGATCCCCCTTGAAGTCTACTGATGTACTGCAGAGGTAAACACTCTTTTGACAACTTGAAATTATGAGTGCAGAAATAATTTACAGTACTTAATATTATAACAGGGTCCTGTGCCTTCAAAACTACCTATATGTACAAATGCACGGAGTGGTTACGACTGGTGAATCATTCATGAAGACTGACACATCCATCAAAGCACGTACTGACCATCATCAAATGTCAAATTATAAAGTAACCTCCCCCACATAAACACGACAGGCGTATTACCTTCTAGACTAAATCCTTCTCCGTGTTTGTGCTCAACCATGGCTGAAGTCATCCTCTTTCAATCTAACATGTGTAGAAGTTGGGCACAGCTTGAAGATCGCCTGTAAGCCTCTTTTTCAGTCGAACAGTCACTGCCTACTTCCTTCTTGAATCACCGCCGCCATTGATGACACAGATCTCGCATTTTTTCTGCTTAACGAGAAAACTTTAAATGCGCTTTTTTACATCTGAACAATAAAACATTTCATTTTTCCAATATGAACGTCGACTTTAATATCAGAATGAAGCCATTTCATTTTTGGACGAAATATCTAACAAGATTTTCGATTTCGTAAAATGCTATTACCGTCACGACTAATTCGACATACACTGCTTGTGTAAACACTACAAGTGATCGCTTCTACGCATTTCCTTAAATATATTTCAGATATTCATTTTAAATCTATTTCCCAATTTCTATATAGTTACGCTTAAAATTCGCGTTAGTGGAATATTTAAGGTGCCATGTTCGCAAAAATACATCTGTCCGGTGCAACCAACATGTTGTATTGTTCAGTGTGAAAAGTAAATGCGCACCACCCTGCAATGCTTGTTTAAACATTTATTGCATAGGTCCACGGTGGTTATAAACAGATAACATTAACATAATCAGACTTAATGCTATTTCAAGGCAATATTGCTAACAAATATTTTCTCTTCTGGCTGACCCAAAAGAGAACATGCCAAAATAGTTATATTTCAGTCACATCTTTTACCCCAAAACTGTAGTTCTTGTATCGTTGTAAATAAATAAAAATTCAATTTCAATTTCTCATAAAAGCTAAACGTTGAGACAATTTATAACAAGCGGGGCAAAGCTTATCATCCACACTAACTGGCACTGCTGGCTAGTTAATCGATTCAAACAACTCAGTGTTTGTCTGTTAATTGAATTGTTTGGATATATATAGCCTATCAATATAACAGGTAATCGATGATTTCAGGTAACGGTTGAGTATGCCACTTCGAAATTTAATAATCAACACCGGGAGCGGGAAGGGGTATTTTCAGGGAAACATATAAGTGAATATGATGGAATGACTTAACGTATTTGAACAACATTAAAACCGTTCAGTTTCCCAGAAATAAAAATAATAATGATTTCTTGGCTAGCCCCTGAAATATGTACATAGCCATACATGGTATCTATTGTAAAATGTATTGACTTTAACGGGTAAAACCTTTTTTTATCAAGTAACACGGATGCTATTTAAAGTATTGTGCTCCAGTAATAATATTAGGATATTTTAGATATGGTCTCACCTAGTCAATAAATCTGGAGTTTCAGATGCCATACTTCTGACTGAAAAACAAAATAGTTAATATAATGCATTTCCATAAAAAATATATATATATATATATATATATATATATTATTATTATATTTTATATATATATATATATATATATATATACTTAATCATTCCACAAAAAGATTAATGACTATCATGGTATTCTTTGGCTACACAAAAACAGCAAATTCCGATTTCAAACCCGCTCACTAACCGTGGGTGACGATGTAGTACTGTAGTTATCAACAGACGGTCAGCTACAGCGTTCGTAAGTGTAATCAGTTTTTAGGAATAGTCGATATTGGGTCCTACCCAAAATAAAGCCCTCGTGACATTTGACGGTGACAGGTGCGCGTGTGTGATCTACCCGATTGGGACACGCCTCCCGCATGGACAATGCACACGTGCAGTACACGACGAAAACATTATTCTTTATGACGTAAGTCATGATGATAGTTTGTAAACAACGTTATAGATGCACACCCCATCACACCTAAGTCCTTATCTGATCACTCCTTTTTTAGCACACGAATCTTATCCCCCCATTTTGTCAAGATATACTCTCGCTTTGATGTTGGCGCAAAAGTTGTTAATGCATGCCAAATATATGATACTGCGTAGATAAAGTTGTTTGGTTAAGGTTATCCTTTGTGATTAGAACGAACTCTGTCAAGGATCTGTTGCTATTGTGCAAGAATGTAGATGAAAGAAATGCAAAATTATTTCGTTAGTTCCGGGTTCGAGTTTTATACCTTTCTACCTGCCCTAATTTACATATTTCCGCTATTCATTACGGTGGGTGGGTCTGACAGATTTGCAGATCTGATCAAAGCAAGGTTAGTTATTTAACGATGTTTAACACAATCTGACAAATGAACTCCAGAGTCATCTTAGTTGTTTTAGTTAATTTGTTAGCTTTGGTGGATGCAAGTGACCCTGTGATTGTTATCAAAGTGGAATACTAGGGCAGTTGACTACAACAGACCTGCTTCTGATAGCCAGCATCTAGTGGTTCAAAACACAGTGGATGCTGAATGTATAGTAGACTGACAATGGGCCAGGAGAAGGGGCAACACTATTGATGACTGGTGTGTTTTGTTTGGATAATTTCACAAACTGTCATGATGAGTGATTAATGTGTGATGCAGACAACAATAATATGTGCAGTTAGATTTGACAACCAGTCACATGATGTCATTGTAATCACCTGATTCCCATTTTAATTAAGTTTGATCTGAAAGTAGCTTATGGATCTAGATAGGATTGCAGCACACTCCTTCTGACACCTTTCATTTCATCTGCTATCGTTTTACCTTGTTACATGGCTGAACTTCTCCCAACCCAACTACCCAGAACCTAGTATCATGCTGACTAGTCCATTCATTAAGCCTGTCCATAAGGTTCATTCATAATAGTCTATGCTTGAAGACCGCCTCCGTGGTGTAGTGGTTAGAGCGTCCGCCCGGAGAGCGGAAGGTCGCAGGTTCGATGCCCGGCCACGTCATACCAAAATACGTTAAAATGTGGTACTTGTTGGTCCCTGCCTGGCGCTCGGCATTTTTGGGTACAACAAGGACTGGTCGGCTCGGAGTCAGTATAATGTGTCTGAGTGTGGTTTTCATGCTTAACTGCAGCATGGTATCTCAGTGGGCTAGCACTATAAAACCAGCTTAAGTCTGGGCTAGTACAAGCAGCCACACATACACATGCATGCACGTTGTCATATGAGCGAAATATTCTCAAGCACGACGTTAAACCCCATTTCACCACCTCTATACTTGAAGCATGACTTTGTCCATTCTCAATACTCCATGCTTTAAAGGTACACCTTTGTGTTCATTTTCTCCACTGCATGCTGTAAGCAAGGTTCTCTGGTTCAATCTTAGTACTCCATGCTGTAAGCCTGACCCTTGGTTTTATTGTGTACTCCATGCTTTAAGCCAGACCGTCATGTTCATTTGTTTTACTCCATGCTTTCAGGTATATCCTCTTGTTTATTCCTTCTTTGACGTACTCAGCCAGAGTCCTGTGTTCATTCTGTAAATTCCGTGTTTTTAGCCAGACCCTTATGTATATTGTGTTTACTTCATGCTTTAAGCTAGACTCTTGTGCTTGTTGTTTTACATCATGCTATACTATAACAGCGTTTAAAATTCCTGCCTGCCCGACCGTCCGGAACGGTCTATTTTCATCTCTCTCCGGTGGTCTGGTCTACAGATGTTTTTGCCCCTACCAGTAAATATTTCATAATATCAGACAGGTTCTCTGGTTGTCAGTTTGAGGTGTTTAAGGTATTATGATAATTATGTGAAACTATTTACGATTGGACAGTTCATTATACAATAACCAATCACAACACATGTACTTTCAGTTTCCCTAAACTCGGTGCATTGCCTGTTAGTGCTATGTAGTTCATTGTGATGCCTACAAACAGTAAAGTATTCAGAAACCTGATATTTTTTTTCATTGTTGAAAACCGGACAGGCAAGTTTGTACTCGGACTGGTCATTTTTTAAAGTTACCAGTCCGGCTGTCTGGCTTGGAATTTTAGGAGTTTTAAACACTGGCTATAAGCTAGACCCTCATGTTTATTGTGTTTACTTCATGCTGTAAGCTAGACTGTCATGTTTATTCCTTGTACACCATGCTTTAAGCCAGAGTCTCATGTTCATTGTCTTTCATCCAGCTAGATATTCTGATTGCTCTATGCTTTAAGTCAGACCCTCATGTATAGTCTGTATACCCCATGCTTTAAATCAGTCCTTGTGTTCATCTTCTCTTGTCCATGTAAATATCTTTTTTGGTGCCATCTTCCCCTGTTGTTGCAGATGAATTGAGACATGGTAGTGGTGGTCGTTGTGTCCGTGGTGGCATCATTTCTCTAACTGACTGTTTGATATCTTCCCTGTTGTTGCAGATGAATTGAGACATAGTAGTGGTGGTCGCCGTGTCCGTGGTGGCGCCATTTCTCTAACTGAATGTTTGATATCTTCCCTGTTGTTGCAGATGAATTGAGACATGGTAGTGGTGGTCACAGTGTCAGTGCTGGAGTCATTTCTCTAACTGACTGTTTGATATCTTCTCTGTTGTTCCAGATGAAGTGAGACATGGTAGTGGTGGTCGCCGTGTCCGTGGTGGCGCCATTTCTCTAACTGAATGTTTGATATCTTCCCTGTTGTTGCAGATGAAGTGAGACATGGTAGTGGTGGTCACAGTGTCAGTGCTGGAGTCATTTCTCTAACTGACTGTTTGATATCTTCCCTGTTGTTCCAGATGAAGTGAGACATGGTAGTGGTGGTCGCCGTGTCCGTGGTGGCGCCACTGCTGCTACTGGTGGTGGTGCTCATCAAGTGTCTGGGTTGCCTGAGGAAGAAAGAGGGTTTCAAGGTAACAAGTTGCTACTCCTTGCTTCAGTTAATTAGCCCATTACATATTGATACACCAGTTAAACATGAGACATTGCAGTATGATCTAGCTTAACCTTATTGTGAATTTATGGACATTAAATGTTTTATCAAGAAGAGAGATACCCATCAAAAGTTTAGACTCACTTAAAACACTCACTATATGTTATGTATATACATGTGATTACATCGAAGATGAATTTCTCCACTAACTTGGGGGAACCAACTGCAAACCTTATGCAGATGAACTGCACGAGGATCATGCATCAACTTGCTGAAAAGCATGTGCAAATATTGTGCATGTGAACAGCTGCGTTTTGGTGTAAAGTTTTGTTAAGAATTCGCCACTTTTCACTGAGTTTCATCATTTATTGAACTCATGACAATAAACTTTTCAATGCTACGAATTATTTTTATAATACATCAGTTCATGTGTAAACAGTACCCTTGAACTATATGGAATATTTTGCAAAATCTAGTTTAGATCAGTTGACTGAAGTAAGTGGCTACATTTACACTAGTGAGTCTAAACTTTTGATGGGGAGTATAGCTTTTATGAAATGTATTCTTGTGAAATAGCAACAAGGAAGTCACAACATATAGTAACTGAGTAATCAGTACCATCTTTATGTTGCTGTAATACATCATCACATATTGCTGGGTGACCTCGGCCTATTGTAATATTACCGGTATATCTGAAATTGACCTTGGTCCAAGTATTTGAGAGTCTGTTAGGATTGCACCAAATTGCATGCATACTTTTTCAGCAATAATGAATTTTGTTTCTTTGTATTTAAGATCTACAAAGAAGTGTATTTTGATAAAACTGGAAAAGTAGATGGTATATATTTTTCATGGCAGTGGCGATATTTTAACATTGTTATATTTACTCTAGTATGTAGAAAATATTACCTGCATGTACAATCAGTGTCAACCACTGTCAACCACGGTAGCTCCCAATATATCAAAATGCAGATCACATTCTGCCCCCTGACCATAGATTGCATATGCTCTTTCATGAGCAGCCAGTGTAATGCCCTCAACATTGGGTTTATGTGATCATATTTTGTGATAATTTTTGCTGGAGAATTGTGCTGGCAACTGATACAGGCAACTTGCACTATCATGAGCACTTGCTTCTAAGTTACCCAGGTGCACTGGTTGCTTCATTGCTAGGGAGCTGCAGTTCAGTGCATAGAGTTGTCCCCCTTTGGCATTCCAGAATCCTATGATTGGGAGATTACATTCCAAATTTTCCTTAAATCATACTTTGCTTGAGGGTGGGATCAAAGTGGTATTAAACTAACTGGCTGAGATGTTTCCAGGTTAAATAAATAGATAGATAGATAGATAAATAGATAAATAAATAAATAAATATGGTATAATTGAGATTATTTAAGATGAGTGTTTTGTTTTCTATCTAAATGTGTTGATATGGATGTACTTCAGACTTTTGAAAATGAGGATGCCCGTATGGAAGCGAGGATCAACCCTGGCTTCGCCATGGGTCAAGATGTGGATGACAGAGATCAGACAATGTCCACAACTATTCAGATCGAGCCCCTACCAGAGCTGCTGGCCGAGTCCACACCGAGGAAGCCAAAGATAGCATGTGTGGAGAAGACAAAGCAAGAGGCAGCCTTCAAGCTTGTGGGTAAGACAGCTCTATGATGTATCTCCCTGTCAGGGTCAAGGCAGGTCTCTAGTGCTCATGCTTGACCCCTAGTGGGATTCTAGATCAGGATAGGTTGCCAGCAGCCCAAATCGTCCCCAAAGGGAATAGATCTGTTGGTCAGGATTCTATGGCGATGAAAATTAGGAATATGCTCACTGGAGTAAGACAACATTCCCTCAGTATTGCCCAATTTGTTCATTTTTAAATATAGCTGGTTTTTACTGGTTGATTGTTTCAAATTGCAGTTGCAGGTTAATCCAAATTGTTGTGCCAGGTTGTTTTCCAAAATGTCTTGAAGATTTTGATATGGGTAAAATTGTGTTCAAAAGTCATGTAAAGTCATTGTAATGCAGTTGACATAACACATTCTTCAAAGTGTTGACTTAGCCATTGATCTTTGACCCTCGACACACTGCACAATCCAGTCCTCAAAACTGACCAGACGTCTGTATCTTTCAGTGATAAATAACCCTCATCCTTTCCCAAGGCGACAGCTGACCTACTTGAAAGAAATTGGAAATGGATGGTTCGGACAGGTATGTTTGAACAGCAGGGAATTGTAGAAACACAGCTGCTAAACAAACAGAAAAAATGTGCAGACCTTATAACTGAACCTGTAGATCTGCATAATCTGTGTGCACAGAGACAACAGCAGGGTGTAAGGTTTGATTGTAAGTTAGTTTGCCATAATGAATACACTTAGAGCAACTCCATCACAGTTCCCTGTTCAATAGAAATGGATTCTTCCACTGACTCTGAAATACTTTTTGACCCTGTTCAATGGAAATGGATTCTCAATTGAATCTGGAATGCCTACTGACCCTGTTAAATAGAAATGGATTCTTCCATTGACTCTGAAATACTTATTGGCCCTGTTCAATGGAAATGGATTCTTCCATTGACTCTGGAATGCCTACTGGGAAAAGAAGAGATTTTTCACAACATTGTTTTGCAGAAGCAAAGAATGGACAAACACTTTGATGTATATGAGGGTTATATTTTTTTATCTTCTTGCTGTTATATAGGTACTGGAGTCTGATGCTGAGCACATCACAACGGGAATTCCTCTGAGTCGTGTGGTGGCCAAAGTCTTGAGAGATGATGCATCCAACTCAGAAAAGAAACTATTCCTTGAGGATGTGGTACCTTACAGGTAGTGATTTCCTAACAACTCATTTTACATGGAATTGGAATCATATAAGAACTTAATGTGTTTTTTTTTTGAGTGAGTGAGTAAGTGAATTTGGTTTTATGCTGCTTTTAGCAATATTCCAGCAATATCACAGTGGGGGACACCAGAAATGGGCTTCACACATTGTACCCATGTCGGGAATCGAACTGCCCCTTGTTTTTCTGAATGGCCCTGATCTGATTGATACGTTTGTGTATGCTGCCAAATTGAGAAACTGTATACTGTCTCGTATGTGTTTTCTGTGTGAAAACAGTGTTTTGTTTGGTAATTCTAATCAAATGTTTGACATTTTCATTAATGTAGACTGTGAAAACAAAACCATTAATGGTTCAGCCTTATTGTGAATAATGTGATTTGTAATAGGGGATTATGTGAATAATGTGATTTGTACATTGACTTTGGGTGTCATCTTCACAGAGAACTTGAACACTCCAACGTGCTGCGTCTGCTGGGCCAGTGTACTGAAAGCGCCCCCTATCTCATGATCCTGGAGTATGCTCAGATGGTACGTGTAACTGCTTGATGACTTCTGCAATGACAACATTCACCAGTGTATAATATATAACTGGATAATCAATTCTGCAAAGCCTTCAGGATACCTGTAACAAAAGAAAACCTGACTTTTGTAACCATTTTGTATCCCTGTTTCTATGCTTCTGTTACCTAGCTCTCATTGTGTGTGTTTGCTATAGGGTGACCTCAAGACGTGTGTGAAGAACCTGAAGGATCGTGCTGATGTTATGACACAGAACTATCAGGTGGTTAAGTTTGCCATTGATGCTGCAAGTGGATTGGCTTGTTTACATCGCCATGGTTACATACACCAGTAAGTGTTGCTGAATTTGTATCCATGTTTAGCTGTTAATTATAACTAAATGGTGCACATTCACTTCAATATACACAGTTTGGGTTACTTCCTTATATGTTTCTGTCGCTGTTACATCCTGTTAGTCAGCTGTGAACTGGTAAAATGATATGCCAGAAAGGGACAAGGATGTTATTTACAATGATGTTTATGAATGGTTTCTAACTTACTGGGATGCTGTTAAAGTAAATCCAAAATATTTTTTACAGGGATTTCGCAGCTCGAAACTGTGTCGTGATGGCAGATTACACGGTCAAAGTAGGGGATTATGGGATATCTGAAGATGTGTTCAAGGTATGTTTGAACAGAATGTTTTTGTATTGATGTAACATGGTAGCATGTGATCTTTGGTCATGAAGGTAGCAACATTGCTTCTGAGATCAGATGAATGGAAGACTTTGTTGGAAAGTTTCTTAGCTTTTGAATTTATGCAGATTTTTTTGGCCCTGAAACTTGATGTTTACTTTAGTCAAAATGGGTACAACAAACTACGGTCGAAAGAAATTAACATAAGTGGTCCCTTTGAGTTCATTACAACCATAGTTGACAGTATTTTGAAATGTTTATTACTAAATTGTCAAGCTTCACTGTCTAAGCCATCAGTGAGCCTCTTACAGCCAGTAAGAGTTTCTGGGGATGTATTCTTACCTGGAATTCCTATGGGTAGTTGTTCACGATATAAATGTTGATCAATCAAATCACCAAACCACACAACCCGTGAAGGTCGGGGTTAGAATATTGATCTTCAGTAACCCATGCTTGTCGTAAGAGGCGACTAACGGGATCGGGTGCTCAGGCTCGCTGACTTGGTTGACACATGTCATCGGTTACCGATTGCGCAGATCGATGCTCATGCTGTTGATCACTGGATTGTCTGATCCAGACTCGATTATTTACAGACCGCCGCCATATAGCTGGAATATTGCTGAGTGCGGCGTAAAACTAAACTCACTCACTCACCAAACCACACAACCCAAAGATTAATTAACCTCTTACAGTTAATAGGGGTTTGTGGAAATATTCTTACCTGGAATCCCAGTGTAATGGTTGCTAGTGTACCAGACGTACAGCTATGATGGTGGTGTTTGCAGGCTGACTACTACGTCAGTGGTAAGGAGAGTCTCCCCATCCGATGGATGGCTCCAGAGACCCTCAGTCAGCAGTCGGGCAGCTGGCAAACAGCCGTCATAACCAGGGAGGCAAATATCTGGTGAGTGACCTATATGAGATGAACCTACAGTGTTTTCATGTCGGTGATGTGTCATTGGTGGATTCTGAAATTGTTAATAAGGTAATCGGATCAATAAGGGATCAATGACAAGAAGTTTAATACTGGGTATGTTTGTTTTCATATGTTCAAACCATGATTTTTCCAAAGAATACTGTCAACCGCCATTGTGTAAAACTTATCTCAAACTAGCTTGGTCCTTACGTTGTCCGACCACCTCGGTGGTGTAGTGGTTAGAGCGTCCGCCCAGAGAGCGGAAGGTCATGGGTTCGATCCCTGACCGCGTCATACCAAAAAGACGTTAAAATATGGTACTTGTTGGTCCCTGCCTGGCGCTTGGCATTAATGGGTACAACAAGGACTGGTCGGCTCGGAGTCAGTATAATGTGCCTGAGTTGGGTATTCATGCTTCACTGCGGCATGGTATCTCAGTGGGCTAGCACTATAAAACCAGCTTCAGTCTGGGCTAGTACAAGCAGCCGCACATACACATACACACGCATGCACGTCGTCATATGAGCGAAATATTCTCAAGCACGACGTTAAACCCAATTTCACCTCACCTTATGTTGTCTTTCTTCATTCATCATTGTTGTGTTTTGTGTAAGCCTCAGATAATTTGTTGTATTTATGTAGTCAGCTTTGTGTGCAGACTCTTTCAGCATTGTCACAACCCCTAGTGTACGGTCCACAACCCTTTGCAACCGTTAGTAAATGACCGGATGGTGGCCACATGAATAAAACACCTGGTTGTGGGTACAACAACGTGCAGTAAACTTGGACAAAGTACTGTGACTATGTGTCCCAGTCCACCCAACTGTGAATGGGTACGTCATTAGGATGGGAAAGCCAGGCTAACGGTATTGGGTGGTCAGGCTCGCTGACTTTGTTGACACATGTCATCCCAGTGGCATAGATAAATGCTCATGCTGTTGATCACTGGATTGTCTGGTCCAGACCGATTATTTACAGACTGAGGCATTATTGCTGTAATATTGCTGAGTGTGGCATCAAACAGACAAACAAATCTAGGTTTGGTAGCCTAGATAAGAGGCAGTGATGATGAGGACTGTTTTTGTTTTCAGGTCATTCGGGGTGCTGCTGTGGGAGGTGGTGATGTTTGGCAAGCAGCCATATGGGAACATGCCCGATGACCAGGTGCTGCAGACGGTCATTGCAGACCGTATGGTCAAACTGCCGGAACCGGATGTCAGTATACAGTTCAAGGACAGAATGTGAGCATGTATTTGTGTGTAATTAGAGTCTATTAAAAACATTGGCTTAATTAGAGCCTTAATTGATAAAAAATACAGGGAATGGAAGAATTAGGAAGACTGTTACACCAAGGATCACTTTTGTGATACATGCCATAACAGTATTATTTTTCCTTATCCTGACTCATGCTCTTTTGCTTGTCTCCTTCCTCTTGCGAACATAGTGGAACACTTGTATCTCCCTAATTGAAGTTCCCTTCAATGTAAAATCACTAATTAGTACACCACGAGTTACCTCCCTTCCACAAGCGCGGGAACGAGGGCGCCACCTCTACCCATGTGCCTCACTCTCTCCTTCTTCGCCCAGTGAGCTGGACGTGAGAGCGCCTGTGTCTCCCGACACACTATATCCTTTGATTATATTTAGTTAGTTACCTCGTGATAGAGATCTATAGAGGTTTAGCTAGTATCTTTCAACAATTATATATTGATATTTAGTCGCTTTTCTACTGTTTATGCACGGGACGCCGTGCTGTTTCAGTGGATTACGCTGATAAAAATTCTGTACTGTTGCACATTACGCTTTTTATTCTGCTGCTGATCCGCATTTAATATGCCCCTAGCTGTACGGCGCCATGTTTCATGTGATTCACGCGTTGCAGTTAGCGATACTAATTTATCCAATTCTACCTTTAATAAATAATTACTTTCGCGTTTGAGACGCAGCGAAGATAGGTCGCGATGCAGAGTCTAGCCATGACTGATACACCTGAACCCCTCGCCAGTCTACTGCTGTTGGTCGACTCCCCTCCTCCGCCTGGTGTTCCGCTTAGAGTGGTGGAGAGGGGCGGGACGAGTCCCGCCATCTAAGAAGCATCCTGCTTCCCCAGACATCCCATCGTCGCAGCCGAAGACTAGAGGGTTTCTACTGCATCTCAACGCGACCCGCTGAGGAAATCATCGAAGTCTACTTGAACTTTCTCAGCCGAGATTTGTTCCAGATGTACATGATCAATTTTGATACCTGTATGTCGATCAGATCAGCATGCAGCCTGATGTACCATCAATATGAATGACGTCCTGATGGTCCCATCATTACTAACAGGCAACGCAGACGCCGCACACCCAGGGCAGCGTCGACCTCTGAGGGAAAATCAACGAAGTCTATTAGGACTTTCTCAACCGAGATTGTTCCAGCCGATGAACTGGGCCTCTACGATGATCAGCCGATCATCATCCCCGACGTGACGTTTCCACAAGAAACGACCGTGAGACAGCTACAGTGACATCAGCAGAGATCACCATGCAGCCTGATGTCTCTACACTGATGTCAGACGACTTCCCCGAGGGCCCTTCAGCTAACATCGCAGAGAGGGCACCGAATTAATTCGCCGCAGACCATCCCAGATGAACTTGATGGCGAAATCATGATCATGATGGAGGGCCACTACAGACTGGGAAGCAGCCAGCCCAAGGTCTGAGCCTTGTGCTAAGGCTCCAACGTGACGAGCACCCCAGAGGCACCCCATCAGCCGTAACAGCCAGGGGCGATGCCACCTTCGCGAAGGAAGTCAGACCACCTCCTTGGCGAAGGACCTTAGATGTACAGCCTTCAAGGCCTTCGGCGGAAAGGACCTAGATCATCACCTTCCTCGGCTTCATCGGAAGATGCGGACTCCAGACCATCAGACAGCCTTCGCTGGTCACCGCCGGCCCCAGGACCGATCGCAGAGACCTTTCATGGCCTTCGCTCATCCCTAGATGTGGACACCTGACCATCAGAGCTTCACAGAAGCCTTCAACATTCTCTCCTCACAGGTCTCCGGTCATCAACCCATAGACGCAGATCACCAACACGACGCATCTCCAGCGCTACCGGGCCGATCGATAATCCCTCCAGGAAGCTCACAGGTCACTACACAGAGTCAGCAAGGACAAGTCTACAGTCAGCTCTCCTCCGAAGGCCACCCGAAGATAGAGATAGAAATACACAGTCCACCATCAGAAGAGCATCAACATCTCACAAGCGATGGGACTATACAAGATGATGGAGATATCATTTTTCTCACTAGATCGTATATTGGATGGTACAAGTCTCTCTTCACCTTCCAAGAGCGGCAACCATAGACAACCTGATAAAGGAAGATCAGAGTATAATCACCTACAATCGATGTCGACTCGATTGGTTCTGTGGACATCCTACCATGCCATATAATAGTTCAAACGTATGTTCGGCTGGCCTAAATAGATCTAGAACGATCAATTAGATACTTATCACCAGATTTCGCGGACAATTAGACTTCGAAGATACGATAGGATGAATTACTCGGCTCTACTTTATGCAGAACCAGCAAGAACCACACTCTGAATATAACGATAATCGATGATTCATGCCCAGGCCACTTAGGAGCTAGGCGCCTACCAGTTACAAGGGATCCCACGGATCCTGCCTTAAACACATATGTGCTGAGTGCTGTTCAAAAACACTCAAGCACCCCTGTTGAACACATATATATATGGCAAAGCCGCCATATATATATATATACTGATCGGGCTCTGATTCCTGACACCTCTCGCATGGTCGCTTGAGGCTAAGTGGCTCTCAAGTCTACTTTCACCCAGAAAATCTAGAATGGATACTTCGAGAACTTCGTAAGTCTCCGGCGCCACCGAGGAAGTCTCCAAAGGTCTCCATATATTAGCCACTCGTCATATATAGCTACTCGTCAGTCCGTTTTCAAGACGCCGCATAAGTTGTCTTATCAACTGTATGCCATATGCCGCCTATAAGCCTACAGCGAAGACAATTGCACAGGCTATTTACAACACAGAACGCCGCTATATTAATTAGTCAACGACGCTTCATAGATCTTCACAGAAATCAACTTTTCCGTATAGATTGCTAGAATATGCAATCCCGGACTTTACGATACGATTATCTACATGCGTGACCATTACGCAGATCTGCAGACAATTCAATATCGAAAATTGAACAGCAGCCTTGTTACAGCGGTATAACTCTTAATCACAAAGTTTCTGAGAAGAAATATGTACAAACAAGTTCAGCTTTAATTCTACAATTATGACGATACATTCATGTATACAGTCTACAAGCTGACAACTTGCAAGTTGTTTATACCTTTATATAAGGAAGTCGGAATTATATTCAAAACTGAAATTACTTTCACGACAAACCAGGAAAATAACCTACCCAGCATTAATAATTACAGAGCGAGGTATTTCGCGCGGAGGAGGTTTCAGCACCTTACCATTAACCCTCAAACACGTGGTCACTCGGATAACTTCGAAGCTTGACGGTGAAGACCGGCGATTATGCTAATATCAACGACGGCAAGATTTTATACAAGGTTTTTCCTGCTACACCGTGACATCACAGCGCTGGTATTCTACAGAATCAAAATGCCTTGTTCTTGATTGGATCACGTTGGACAACGCACTACACGCAGAGGTCGATCTTAGTTCACAGTTCAAGACTTACGCTACAAGTGACAACTATATATCAGTGAACGAAAGCAAGCCTCCTTACAGTCCAGTTAACCTGAACCTTCATGATTGGGCTGCCTTTTTCAGGTTAGAGGCCTCCCCTGTCAAGTTAGGGACGAGGGATCGGCAGTCAGGCAATTTTACATAAAGTTCAACGAGGGACAGACACACCTGGTTATGCACCTACATCACAAGGACTTCGCGAGCTTAATAACCTAGACGACGTGGATACAAGTGGATCTAAATCCACAGCGCCTCAGACTACAGCTGAATTTCATAATCAAGCTACTAACACAACTAGATGGTTAGTAAACCTACTTAAACTTCTGATTGGAGAATTAAAACGGAAGTTTCACCCTCCAACTTGGGATCTGAATATAGTGCTCCAACACCTCACAAGTGAGGTTTATGAACACGCCTGGATGACATACTTGGACTCCATGATACGATGATTCTATCAAGTTGGCCAGCAAGAACACTGTAAATTTATCTCCACCAGAACCAAACAGAAGGAGAATAATGCAACAGATTATTTCCTCTATCATCAACTTACGCAAAATGAAATCTCATGTACTATATCTCCATTTGGATCAGAACTGTCATACTACGTGCATACAAGACGGATGGACCTAATCCGACCCTCCATGAGCTTTTAATACTCATGATATTATAGCTTAACTTCTACAATTGATCTACACAAATGTTTTGAAATAATGGAGGGTTTATTTTCTGAGATCCGATATGGTGGTTGCAAACCATTATCTGAGAGATATCATCACCGAGGACGCCCTCAGGTATACACCAATTCGATCCCATGGTCCTCGCGACAACAGTTGATAGTTCCTCGAGAAGATAAGTCAATCTTAACAGATTTTTACTTATCTTATAACAATACTAAATAGCTTCATGCTATATATAATTTGCTTAAGTTCCTTTTATCATCACAGTACTATGATTATTACATCATACAATATATAAGTTAACAACTCTACAGAGTTGGTTATTATATATTTACCTTAAGTTATTCATATCTTCAAGAGTATAGGTTACATGATAAATGAGATTGCTAACAAACTCTACAGAGTTTTTTACAAACTATACAGAGTTTGGGGTAATTATATCATATCAGTATATTAGCTAACAAACATAGTACTATACTCATATTATTGCTAACAAACTCTAAGGAGTTTTGCTTAAGGTCTCATCATTCATCTTTAAGCAAATATTATATCATTATAAGTAGATTAGCTAACAAACTCTAAAGAGTTTTTGCTATAAGTATCATCATATTTCTAAGCAATATGGTTATATTATAACATGTATTAGCTAACAAACTCTACAGAGTTTTTGCTATTATATATGTAACTTAAGCTTATTCATATCTTAAAGCAATACTATGTTTATATCATATAGGTATATTAGCTATCAAAACTCTAAAAGAGTTTTTTGCTATTATATATTTGGCTTAAGTTTCATCATATTTTAAGCTTTATGGTTACATTATAACATGTATTAGCTAACAAACTCTACAGGAGTTTTTGCTATTATATATGTAGCTTAAGTTTTCCTTCTCATAAGCTCAATACTAGGTTTATATCATAGCTAACAAACTCTAAAGGGTTGTTTTCATTATTATACAATTAGCTTAAGTTTCCTACTATATCTTAAGCAGTATGTTTACATTATAAAGGATAGCTAACAAAACCTCTACGGAGTTTTGTTATTATATATATATAGCTTAAGTTTTCATCATAACTTAAGCTCAGTACTATGTTTTATATCATAAAAGTATATTAGTTAATAAACTCTAAGGAGTTTATTTTGCTATATACTTTTAGCTTAAGTCTAATCTTATCTTAAGCTTAGTACTATGGTTACACTATATAAACATATTAGCTAATAAACTCTACAGAGTTTTTGGCTATTATATATGTAGCTTAAGTTAATAATATCTTAAGCACAATACTATACTCATATTGTAAAAATATATTAGCTAACAAACTCTAACGGAGTTTTGCTATTATATATGTAGCTTAAGTTCATTATATCTTAAGCACACTACTATACTCATATTGTAAAATATATTAGCTAACAAACTCTACGGAGTTTTGCTATTATATATGTAGCTTAAGTTAATTATATCTTAACACTACTATACTCATATTGTAAAAAATATATTAGCTAACAAAACCCTACAGAGTTTTGCTATATATATGTAGCTTAAGCAAATTATATCTTAAGCTCAGTACTATACTAATATTATAAAAATGTATATTATTAGCTAACAAACTCTACAGAGTTTGGCTATTATATATGTAGCTTAAGTCTAATTATAGCTTAAGCACAGTACTATACTCATATTATAAAAATATATTAGCTAACAAACTCTACAGAGTTTGGCTATTATATATGTAGCTTAAGTTAATTATAGCTTAAGCACAGTACTATACTCATATTATAAAAATATATTAGCTAACAAACTCTACAGAGTTTTTTTATTATATATGTAGCTAAAGCTTATTCATATCTTAAGCTCAGCATTATATCTATATCATATAAGTATTAACTAACAAACTCTAAAGAGTTTGCTATTATATAATTAGCTTAAGTTTAATCATATCTTAAGCTTAGTACTATGTTTATATCTTAAAAGTATTTTAGCTAACAAACTCTAAGGAGTTTATACTAGCATATTAACAAGCTTAAGTCTATTAGTCTTAAGCATTGTATTAATGTTATATATACTTTATCATAATAAGTACATGATAATAACCTTTTATATGGCAGCTGATAAGTTAGCAGCAGGAATTCATCAGTTCAGTGCCTTTATGAAGTTCCCATAGGGTTATTACAATCATCACAGTTCAAATCACTAATTATTAAAAATCCAAAGTATTAGATATTCCCACCTCCAATCCGTTGGATGCTACAAGCAAAGAGCATGAGTCAGGATAAGGAAAAAATATGTAATTTTTGAGTAAAATTGATATTTTATACTTATCCTGACTCATGAGGTCAGCCCTCCCATCCTCCCCAAATAACACTTTGGATTTCCCTGTAAATTCAAATGTTGGGCCCAGTATATGAGGAGAGAGTGAGGCACATGGGTAGAGGTGGCGCCCTCGTTCCCGCGCTTGTGGAAGGGAGGTAACTCGTGGTGTACTAATTAGTGATTTTACATTGAAGGGAACTTCAATTAGGGAGATACAAGTGTTCCACTATGTTCGCAAGAGGAAGGAGACAAGCAAAAGAGCATGAGTCAGGATAAGTATAAAATATCAATTTTACTCAAAAAATTACATTATTCATAAGTCATGACATAGTTGCCTCCGTCGGTATTTGTTTAAATCCAACTCTTATCCCTGAATGTGTGTATATTGTCTTCATAAACATATGAAAACCATCAGCCATGTAAACAGATGTGTATTTTTCAATCTTCTACTTAAATTGAGCTAGGTAATGAAGACATAATGGGTGTATAACCAGTGATGCAAATGAAGTAAAATAACACTCAAGGGTGGGATGTGGAGGGACTCCTACAGTCCGTTTGGGTTCAAATGAGAACGATGCATGATTAAATAACTTGAAATAGGGATAAGTGCGCAATACATAAATAAGACACATATTCTTGAAACCCTCGTACCCAACAGGATCTGAAATCTGACATTTATGCCCCATCACGGGGGAAAAAGTTGTTTAAGAAACTGTCATGTAACATTGTTCTATTTTCATGATTCACTCCGAGGGGTAATAAATGGCTGGTGGAACAGCACCAGCTGTTTCCTGACTAAGAGGGGGGCTGTGCTGAGTTGCACCTGAAGTGCGTGCTGGCGCTGTTCCACCAGCCGTTTTTTACCCCTCGGTGTGAATCGTAAAAACTAAAACAATGTTACATGATAGTTTCTTAAACAACTTCGTCACGATATGGCTGAAATATTGCCGATGTGACGTTAAATATTAACTCACTCACTCACTTAAACAACTTTTTGCGTGACCAAGCAGAAAACGTCCGATTTCAGATCCTGCTGGGTACAGAGGTTTCACTACCATGTGTCTTATTTATGTCTTGTGCACTTATCTCTATTTCGAGTTATTTATTCATTTTTATTATTCTCATTTGAACCCAAACAGACTGTACATCAAGGACTGGACTATGGCCCCTTGGCCAGGGGAGATAACTCACATTTCCTTGTTGCAGACATAAACAAGTAACTGTCAGGATTTCATGGTGGCTTTGATGATCCCGAGATAAAAAGGCAGTATAGATTGTGGGACAAACAACTTTGAAATTGTTTGTTCGAGGCTGGGTCAAGATTTGAGACATTTTTTAACTTGCAAATGCAGTAATTATTTGTTCTTAAATTTCAGAGTAGAGGTGATGCTGTTCTGTTGGCTAAACCCAGGAGAGAGGCCCAGCATAGAGGATGCCCATGGTCTGCTTCAGAGGTTGTATGAAATTGTGGCCGGTGATCAAGCTCAGGCAGAGAACTTTGAAAAGAAATGGAGTCACATGATACCCCACGAGGCACGTATTGTGTCGGCCAGACCACAGCCCAAGCAGCAGAAACGACCCACATCTGCCAGCTTTGACAACAACTTTGTTCAGGAGCCCAAGTCTGAACCTCAGCAAGCACTCACTGAACAATCCACCAAACCAGGGGATCTCGTTTCAGTGAAAATTGAGGACATGTCCACATCAGTGGTGAATGGTGGCCATATTGCTGTCAACATGCAGCCGAGTTTGGCAGGCAACCTGGCCCAGTTACCCACCCCGTCTCGCCATACACTGCCTGCTCACATGACCAGCACTCCCATCATGGACCTTGCACCAACTCCAAACGAACCTGATATCAGTCAGAAACAACAAAAGTCAGGATCGGGGTCGAGAACCAGTAGAAAAATTGAAGATGAATTTAGTATAGCACAAGTAGCTTCTACCAAAAGCAATTCCGGTTCCATGGCTTCACCAGTGCCATCAGAGGAGAAGACGCCTGATGTTTTGATTGATGTTCCTCAGGACGATACAGATGCAGATCTTCAAGGGGCGTTAGGCAAAGAGGAAAATGTACCTGTGTCGGATCAGTTTGATTTGTTGGGGGGAAAAACTGCAATTTCCGCAACACAGCAAGCATCCAGTGTTGATGTTCTTGAAGCTTTTGGTGAACCTGTACAAGGTGTACAAAACAAGCCTAACACTCAGGAGGAGAATAAACAGGAACAAGCATTTGTTGATAACAAAGATCCATTTGCAGATTTGTTTGGGCAAGGTGATATTGCAGACCAGATAAAGCCTGTGTCATCTCAGCCCAATTCTAGTTCTGAGCTGTTGCCTACTAACGGTAACCAATCACTCCTCAGTGAATCCTCACCTAAATGTGATGCAGAGTCCCCTGTCTCAGGATTTGATGAGCCGGACACCAAAGCTGAGCTTGTAGGTAAGCAGACGGCTTCATCAGACACCAGACCTGACACTGATGTAGAACCACAGAATTTTCTTTCTAATGATATAGATTTAGTGTCGTCTCATAACTTTCAGGCTGAGAGTATAATTCCAAATACATTCCATCCCAGTGAGAGATCAGCAGGTGAACCTGTTTCAAAAGGTGAGAATGTGAAGCCGTCAGACCTTGCTCTGGACAATGGCACATCTGGATATGAAACACCTGCAGATCAGTCTGCCAAATCAGACTCTATTGAGGAAAACACAAGTGGGGCTGAATCTTCGTCAGACAGTGCTGTGTGTGTCAGTTCCCCAGAGTTGGCAGACGCGCCCAGTTCCTTTGATGTAGCAGCGCCCTCCCATGAGAAGGTAGGTACATGTGTAGAATATGTGAGTGATGATGAGAGTAAAAGTAGTTCCTCTGAATCCGATAGTTCATCAGACTCTTCAAACAGTGGAAGTTCGTATGTATGTGAGGAGAGCAGACGAATCATTCAGGTGACAGATCTAGATGCGGATGACGATGATTCCGATAATTTGGATGAACACCAGGATAACATAAGTGATGAAGTGACAGATTCAGATGAGGATCTTGACCTTAGACTTGCAAGTGAACTCTACCTCTCCAAAGGTGTCAGTTCTCCTAGAGTGTTTGAACGGCCACCATTAGAAACCATTCCAGAGGATGTGATGCCCTCACCTTCAGATACAAGTTCCATAGATCTTAAATTTGATGCCCACTTTGACGATGTGTTCGCCTCTCAAGATAATTTTGAGTGGGACGATTTTATGGGCGAGTCTATTGTGGGCCGTGATAGGACTAGTTACACTCCAAAGGCTAGTTTCGACATGTCTGATTGGTTGATGGACGGTGACTCCCTCAGCTACAGGAGCAGCGGCAGCATCCAGTCTCCGCTCGAAAGTGTCAGCCCGGATGTTCTTGGAACTAGTGATCCCTCCATACGTCTCTCCACTGCCTCAACTTCGGAGGTAAAACGACAGCGAGGCCGGACGTCTCGTTCATATGTATCTGATCTCATCACTAATCGTAGTATACACGACTCCTTTACTAACACAAAAAATACCCGGACACCTTTTTACTCATTATTCGATAATGTAGACATGGACTCCGACTCAGATACTAACCTGAGTCCAGAATCTAACCAGCCTGAATCTCGCCTAATTGAAACAGCCCCAGCAGGATTGCATGACAAAGTGGAAGATTTAGCGTCCGGCTCGCGGACTGACGACTCTTTGTTTATTCAGGTATGCTTCACGGTCAAATCGTAACACTAGCATGCTGTGTCCTTTTGGTTTCATTTGCTGCTTGCTGTTGTAGATCATTGGGTCTCCTCGTCACAATGTTGTAACCATGGTAACCTGTGGTAACAATGGGTTTGGTGTAGCACATTGCACAGTGGGATACTAATTGCACAAGTTTAGTTTTTTTTCCACAACTACTAATTGTGTATTGATATTCAGTTTTGAATATCTGAATGCTAAATAATAATTAGGTGCACACGTAAATGAAGATTTTTTGCAATCATTATTCTATGTTCATCATCTAAGTGTATTAATACAATTGTACACATTTATTGATGAAATGAAAAAAAAAAATCAATATTAGTTTTTGTGGTAAACATTGTTAAGTTCCACGACTGTGCAATGTGAAATATACAGCATTTCCTTTTCATTATCATCATCATTGTCATCAGCGCCCTCTTCATCACAGTAATAATAAGCAGTGACTTAAGGTAACAAAATATGAAACAAAGATTGTATTCTTTATCAATGTTTGTGCTTCTTTTTCAGAGATTTATCTGAGAACTAATTCTCTACTTGTTTTGTATGCTGGAAATATATATGTGCATTTGTATTGGATAATCTTTGTTACAATTAATACCCCACTTTGAAACTAATTATAATCAAGTATTAATTCATCAGGTTATTCTGTTAATGAATATTTCAACACATGGCACAGATAGAAATCGGTACATGTACTAAAATAATTAAAAAACATTTGCATATTTTGATAGTGATGATAATGATGAAGATTTTGTGCTGTGTAAGTTATTTGTAACCATGGCGATTTTCTGTTGGGGTTGCCTTGACAATCCCTAGTTAGTAAGTTGGATTTTGTTGTTATGAAATGTTCTAATTAACTGAAAAGAAAATGGCATGATTATAGATTGGGTTAGAACAAGAATAGATTTATGCATGCTTTGTCTATTCATTAACCATGGCTTGGATTCTAATACTAATCGATGTTGTTTTCCTAAATACTTGTCTTCTCTACTGATAAATATAAAGGCATGGATGGAACTTTTTTACTTTCAGAGCATACTCTAAGAAAAGAATTCAGAATATATATATTCTAAAATGATTGGGTAAACTGTTTTGCATGATAAAGTCAAAACTGCCTGCATTTTCTCAATTGGTCATAATACTTTAAGAATATTGTTTTCATGTTATTATCCAAGAATGTTGTTTTGGTTGTTGTTCAGTATAAATTAATTACTGGATGTTGTTTTTTTTTCGCATTATGAATGATGTTTAGGGATCAATAGATATTACCTGTATAATTTACATTAAAAAATTGCACATATCTATACAACCAGTGTTTTCAGAATATTGCTTGTAGGTGAGTCAATAACTACCTATGGGGTCTGTTCATTCAATGAAAACACGTTACTTTAGGAGGAATATCCAGAGGTATATTTTCTTCTTTGTAATTAGGGTTTAATCTTGTGGCAGCTGCTTAGTTTGATGCTGACATAGACAAGAGGCATGCTATGTTCATTGTCTTTTTGAGAGAAACAATGCATTCTTATTTACTAGTAATAATAATAATAGATAAACCAAACAAGTTATTACTTGTTCATTTTTATGATTCCATTGATTTCGTAAGTATAGTTACTTTGATTTTTAAAATGAATGTCTTTTAGAAATCAGACTGACACATGAGTTACGTGTTTATGTCTATTTAAGAATTAACTTTCAAATTTAAATGCACTTGCATTGACCTTAAGCAAGTGCTTTTGTTTGGGATTGCTCTACAATTTAAACAAGCGTCAAGTCCAAACAAGTGTACACAGAACCAAATACAGTAATATTGGTCTGTTTGTTACCGCTCTCAGCAATATTACAGTTATACAATGGCATTTTGATGGCATTTTGATGGCATAGAATCGGCCACACTCACTGCATTTCATCCCTTTAGTGACTATGATAGGAATTTGTTAGTGATTGTAAATGTGCAACCAATCCTGTTCTTTTCAGGTTCCCAGTTCTAGTAAAGCTTAAACAAGCTTTGTTGGCTACTTCAGGTATATGGTGTGCTAGGGTCGACTAGCTTGTCTGCCTTTTGTATGAATGCTTTGTAGTTGGCTTTTGTTCCTTCTGTTTATCTTGTTAGCCTTAACCAACCTAACACTGTTTCTCGTATACACTTTGGAATGTAGTTTAATTGTGGTAACACATCTATGAGTTATTTCAAGTTTTGTTTTTTATTTTTTCTGATTAAATTTTCTGGAATCTACTCTCTCTTTTATAGGTAACATCTGTTATTCATTGGCTCTTCTGTGAGGGGGCGGCATGTTTACTGATTTTCTCTGATCTAAGATTATCACCTGACTAATACCATGATTCTAATCTAAGTCTCCTAATATTAGACCAGTAGTCGTTCCAGTTTTAATGGATCATGGGAAGCTAATATACTCAGGTAACCCAGTAGAGTTCTGCCTTTCACTGTACAGAGTTGCTTCCCTTGAGCATACCAAATACCCACGATCTTGGGCCGGAAACCCAGTATCACGCTGATTATATTGCAAGGTTTTCTCAGCACCATACCCAAGCTTATGATGTTCTTTAAAGTGGTAATGGTTTCAGACCACCTTCATATGATTATTTCCCATGTGTCTTGGCCAGTTGCACTTGTTCTGGGTTTGAGTCTGATTCTCGTCCTTTGTCTGAATCATACTGTGTTGATGGTTGTCAGGTTGTAAAGGTCTTGGTACACTCGCATTGCATCGGGTACCAGTCAGCCATGTTTGCCTAATGCTAGGAGCAAGTGACAACGGGCTGTTTGAAAAATAGTGACAACGGGCTGTTTCAGAAAAATTTTGAAATTATGAATAATGATCAATTTATTCATGACACACTGCTTAAAAAAAAATACCAATATCCTTAACTTATTTTGTCCAGTATGTGATTAACCATTAGCAATTTGTAGACATAAATAAAACAGACTTAGAATGCATTGCAGCCACATTTGAACAGACATCTTTTTCAGTTACTTTGGCAACTAAAAATATCACTCTGTTCATAATGCTTATTTCACATAGACGTATGATGGGGGCAAGCCCCAAAAATCCTGGTATTTTCAAGGGAAGCTGAAAATGGTAGCTGTACATATACCAAACCATTCCTAGGAATTGTCAGGAAGGAGCTCATACACAGGCACTTACCAAAATGGCAGACTGTCTGGGAACTGCAATCTAGTTAAGGGCTTTCATAACAATGTACAGTATGGATTTACAACTTCTTTATTATTTACAACACAACGTTTCTGGACTTCTTCTTGCCCCTTCATCAGGTGAATAGGGCAAGAAGTAGCAAAGAAGCTGGTGTTGTGAATGATAAAGAAGCTGTAAATCCATACCATACATTGTTATGTTACCATCCAACTTCTAAATGCCCATCAAGCTTCTCAAGGTCTTTCGCCTGTGTTTTCTGGATCTTCCCTCCCACTCTGGATACACGTAAAGACGTGGCTGAAATACTGTTGGAAGCTGTGTTGACTCCGACTCCCTGAACTCTCCCTAGTAGTACAGTAGCCTTCGTGTAGTTTTGTTGTGGTGTGATCTTTACTGGGTTGAATCAGGGCCTGTGGTCAGTATAGCATGTCCGAATATTTCAGTAGATGATTCAAGTTGTAGTTGTCATTAAGTAATTTTGCTGTTACCGGGTAAGTAACATATCGAACTGATTATAATGAAATGCAATTACTCTAATCTCCCCAAAGGAATATTTCAAAGTGTTCAGTATTACAAGCATCACTTTACTCACGTTGAGATTAAGAAAGTCTGTCAGATGGGTTTGACTATTTATTGATTTGATACCTATCTAGAATATTCATCAGTACTGGGTGCAACATTATAGTATTGACGTTTAACTACTAGACTGCATGAACAGTTCTTTCTTTCTTTCTGCCTGATTTCTAACCATAGTTTGGCTTGGGTATTATTTTATACAACAATGTTAACACAGTGTTAAACATTATTATACAGGTTTGAGGAAGTAATAGAGTTCATTAATTGTTCAATTTAATCATTTAACTTGGTGATTGAGAAATTAAAAAAAACCAGGAATCTATTTGTTAATGAATAGTGGTTTCCACAGTGTACATGTTAAAATGCATAAAAGTAATTCTCAATTTATAGTCAGGGACTGACTATTTGATGTACCATGTGGGAGCCTGGGATTTTTTCTCCAAAAAATTTGTTCTAGGAACAGAATAATTGGTCTTACGATTTAACTCCTTTCCCCAGGTCCCTGAAATTTCTGATTTTGAAGCTGTTACTGAAGATAGTCTGTTACAGGACAAAATCCCAGGCATACCCTAGAATATGTAAATGGCGGGTCTGTCTGAAAGATTTAAAGTATCCAAACCACCATAGTGTATTCCTTCCTTATTGCTTTGTCCAAATCATTTTCTCACATTGCTACTTTGTTTCTTTTCAGCAACCATCATTGGGTCCAACTGATGCAACTTTCTCAGTGGAAACATCTGTGTCGTCTGCACCTATGCTAGAAGCAGACGTGACCAATCAGAAGCTGCCTAGTGAGCAACAGACTGAAGAGTCAGCTGATCCCTCTGATAATTTTAAAGGGTTAGGGGGAAGGGTAATGTAAATGAGCAAGGTCAACCAAAGAAAAAAGCTGTTCCTGAAGATCTTGAATCTGCATTTGAAGAGTTGGCAACTCAGCATGGTATTGATTTATTTGGCTCAGGTGAAGTTTCAAACACATCCGACAGTCAGTACAATGAGTTCAGTTTTGAGTCTTTGGGCAAAAGTGATGATGTGAATCTTTTTGATGATTTTTTAGGTCCTGACATAAATGATACGTCCGATAAATCTGAGGTGCCTTCTGTTGCAGCCTTTTTCACTGGTTTAGACATTCCAGAAATACCTGTTGCCTCCAAAGCAGTAGATGCAGCTCCTGTGAAACCTCTTGAGGATGACTCTTTCAGTAGAGAAACAGTCATTAGTCAGACAGCTTCAAGCATTGACTTTGTTACTCCAGAAGTTGATAGTTCCAGTGTTAATCGAACTGAAAAGTCAGAATCAGATCCACACGAAAATGAAAAAAATGAGTTTATTGATGTTAATAGTGCTCCAAATAAGAATGATCAATTACATGTTGAGCCTGCCCAATCATATGCTCTCACACAATCGGGCCTAACAGATAAATCAGGTTCCGATGAAAGCGACAAAACACAACAGTTTACTGATCCTGAGACTGTCACAGTGAGCTTCAGTGATCTAGATGCTATGGAAGTGCATAGCTTTCCTGAAGGACAGAGTGTTAATGTCCCCATATTCCATATGTCAGTGAGTTAGAGCTCCCACCAGCTGCTGCATCAACTGTTGACATTGCAGGTATACCTGAGGTCTCCAATAGCTTCTCACAGGAGAACATGACAGACAGTTTGACACAGTTAGGTGATAGTCTTGTTAATATTGATGTCCTGAGTATTCACACCGAGGCATCTGACATGTTAAAAAGTAGTTATGAGGCCCCATTTGACTGCCAAGATGTAGAAGTGAGTCCAACATCTGGATCTAGTGTCATTCTTGAGAGTGTTGTGTCCCTGGAAAATGCTGAAATAACATCCACACCAGTTGGTGGTTCAGAATCAGAAGTTTGTAAGATTCCTTCCTCTGACATGTTACTTGAGGACTCACAGACTTCTCCAGATGAGAAGCATCCTGCAGACAAACCTGAAGTTACAGGATTAGAACCAACTGCATTGTTCAATCAAAACAGAGGAGACGACTCTGCTTTTGCAAATGTTGAGACAGAATCAGAAGTGTCTGTGAAACAAGAGGATAGTGACATTAATTTTGAAGAGAATTTATCATTTTCCATTGAACCACAAGGGAAGGAGAATTATGAATCTGAAGATAATACTTCATTTGACATGGTTGGGTCTTCATCAGATGTTGAAATCATCACTGAATCACCTACATATTCCATGGACGAGTTGAATGAATCAGAAATTGCTGTTGTGTGTGAACCAGTAGAGATTGTGCCATCTGACTCGCCTCCAAACATGTCACCATCTGTTGAGATTGGACATCCTTCCAAGGATGCTGTTCAGGACTCCATGCCATATGCTGGACCCACTGCCACTCCGCGTCTGTTACCAGCAGACACTGACAGCAATGGAGATGAGGTTGCAACAGGTGATGTTGGAGCTCATGCTGATGAAGGTATTTCAGGTGAAAGTCAAGTTGTCATAGACACAGACAAGGATGATGACACATTGTCTGCTTTGGAGGAACAAACATTGAGCACTGAGTCAAATAGCCCTGAGGAAGTCTGTGAGACAAATTTGAGACATTCAGAAAGTGGAACTGATAAAGCTGATGAAGTGATATCAGGCCCAGGACCAATACCTGATACTGTTTCAGAGGCTGAGTCAGAGGATGTTGTCTCCGAGATTGGCCTTCAGAGCACAATAGCCATTGAACAGACCCAAGATATGGTTGAGGATCATGGTGTCTCCGGTCAAATGGATGATGACATTCAACAGATTGTAAATCAAACTGATGTGTTTGAAGTTATGGTGACCAATCAATCTGAGGTGGTTGAAGAAAGTAGTGATCCAGATGTTTCAGACAATGTTATTCCCAACAAAGAATCTGATAACCTTGATGATTTCTTTTCATCAGGTAGTCTGGTTGCACAAGACAATGATGTATCCCTGAAACCTGATTTCCAAGCAGACATTGTTGATGACAATTTATTACCAGTGCAACTCTGTGATAAAGATGAAATTCCAACCACCTCATTTTCAAATATTTTGACTGAAGATGCTGTTGGTGAAACAGACACAGAAAAGGAAATCCATACCTTTGAGACTAATGCACCCATTCAAGGTATCTCTCCAGAACCACATCAGCTGCCATCTGACTTCACTGGTTTTGAGCAGATTCCTGTGCCAAATGATTTATCTTTAGTCCCTAATTCTCACCTGTCAATAAATGAAGACCAAATTGTTGTTGAAACTCCACAACCACTAGATCAATTCATTGATGTTAATATGTCACAGCAGATACCATCAGATGAGGATGATGGCTTCACTGACCTTGAAGGTTTTAATCAGATCCCTGTGCCAGATGACTTACCCTCAATATCTGATTCTGAGCAGTTTACAAGCTTTACTGATCCCAAATCTCAATCTGACATAAGTATAGAAACAAAAGAGAACACTACAGAAGTTACTAGTTCATCAGGCATAACATCAAATGTTATCGATGACTTTGGCCAACAGTTCATCCCTGGAAGGGACACCTTGGAAGAAAGGACTTCAGAACAAAATGATGCCCCAGATGTCACGAGTCATGTGTCAGAGCATGATGCCCCTAAAGAGAATGCTGAGAAAGAGGATCAAACTGATGCTGAACTAACTGATTTGATCATGGCTGACAGTCTAAAGACTGAAGATGCTGTAGTTGAATCTGAATCTGTGAATTTTGCTGAGAATGTGATAAATGTGAATGCCCCAGGTTCATCCTGTTATCTTGATGCTGATGCTGATCATCATGATGTAGATGTTCCATCACAGACTGTCAAACCTTTTGACTCTGATGGTGCTCCCACTGAAACGAAAAGTGAATCACCAGAACTCATGTCTACTCAATTTGAGGTTGACATAAACCTTGATACAGGACATTCAGATCAAGTATCCAGTTCAGAGCAGGGGTCGTGGGCATCTGATGTTTCGGAAGCTGGGAGTGATCAATCTATCAATGATTTTGAGGACCTTGGTATGACAACACCAGAACAAGTGGAAGTGAGCCAAACAGGTGATGGGAGCACTGTGTCTACTGATTCCTTATTGGATGGCTTTGTTGAAATATCCAGTAGTCCAGTAGGAGGTGGCATCGGTGAAACCAGTGAAGCTGAGGCAAATTTAGATTCTAAGTTCCCAGAAAGCACTGAAGCTGGACAAGATGGTGAGACTGTTGATGGAACAGGAGAGGGATTCCTTGTCCTTAGTGGATCAGAGGAGGACAAACAAGCAAAATTATACAATGATGGCTCAAATGAAAGTAATGTGGGTCAAGGCATAATTGACTTTCCAGATTCGTCATTGACTGACTCCCAAGAATCTGCAGCATTCCTTGACTTATCAAGCTCTCAGGAGGGTCTAGTTGAGGATAATGATGAATCTGGTATGTCTGAGACAAGTGTAGTAAACAGAGCTTCTACAGTCAGAGAAATTAACATAGACACTGGTCGGGAACAAGCTGCAGATAGTGGTGTGTTAAGCATGTCCCCACCAATAGCTTCAAGTCAAACAGAAGAAATCATATTGAAACCTTTTGAGGATTTGTCTTCAGACGTAAATATGCAACCACGTCAGGATACAATGACAGATCCTGCTGTATCTAAAGCTGCACCAGTGATCCCACAAGAGGACAGTGCTAGCTTATCACCAACTGATAATAACATGGAAACAAATCTGCCATTCAATACCCTTACGCCTATTAACAATGAAACCATAGGTACAAATGGCTTAATATCAACAACAGATCCTGAAGCAGATCCTGTACAAATTCACAGTCCCGTCTCAATCCAAAACCAAATGAAAGGAGATCTGACATCTTCCAATGAATCCTCGGTTCTGAATATTGATGATTCAGATGCAGTCCTTCCTGTAATGACCAAGCAAACTGAAGACCGTGATCCATTTGGCCTGACATCTGGTGAGAACACGGTATCAAGTATTGAGGCATCAGATGCATTCCCCTCAGTGGAGCCAGGACCAACCACGTTTGCTGTAGTAACTCCTGGTGAAAACAGTGCTCCAAATCTTGAGACACTAGATACGTTCTCCTTAGTAGAGACAGAAAACAGTGATCCATTTGGCCTTGCAGTTCCTTCTGGTGAGAACACTTTGACAAATCTAGGTGCATCAGATTCATTTGGTCTGACATCCAGTGAGTACACTGTACCAAAAGTAGGGGCATCGGTTGCATTTGCCTCAGTAGAGACAGAAGAAACTGCAGACAGTGATCCATTTGGCCTGACATCTCCTTCTGGTGAGAACACTGATTCAAATCTTGTGGCATCAGTTGCATTTCCCTCAGTGGAGCCTGGACCAACCACAGACAGTGATCCGTTTGGTTTGACATCAAGTGAGAACACTGTTCCAAAGCTGGAAGCATCAGATGCATTTCCCTCAATTGAGACAGAACAAACAGCAGACAGTGATCCATTTGGCCTGGCATCTCCTGGTGAGAACACTGATTCAAATCTTGTGGCATCAGATGCATTCACCTCAGTGGAGCCTGTACCAACAACCGACAGTGATCCATTTGGTCTGACATCAAGTGAGAGCAGTGTTCCAAATCCTGTGGCATCTGATGCATTCACCACAGTGGAGCCTGTACCAACAACAGACAGTGATCCATTTGGCCTGCCATCAAGTGAGAGCAGTGTTCCAAATCCTGTGGCATCAGATGCATTCACCACAGTGGAGCCTGTACCAACCACAGACAGTGATCCATTTGGTCTGACAACAAGTGAGAACAGTGTTCCAAAGCTGGAGGTATCAGATGCATTTCCTTCAATTGAGACAGAACAAACAGCAGACAGTGATCCATTTGGCCTGGCAACTCCCTCTGGTGAGAACACTGATTCAAATCTTGTGGCATCACATCCATTCCCCTCAGTAGAGCCTGGACCAACCACAGACAGTGATCCATTTGGTCTGACATCAAGTGAGAACAGTGTTCCAAAGCTAGGAAGCATCAGATGCATTTCCTTCAATCGAGACAGAACAAACAGCAGACAGTGATCCATTTGGCCTGGCATCTCCTGGTGAGAACACTGATTCAAATCTTGTGGCATCAGATGCATTCCCCTCAGTGGAGCCTGTACCAACCACAGACAGTGATCCATTTGGTCTGACATCAAGTGAGAGCAGTGTTCCAAAGCAGGAAGCATCAGATGCATTTCCTTCAATCGAGACAGAACAAACAGGAGACAGTGATCCATTTGGCCTGGCATCTCCTGGTGAGAACACTGATTCAAACCTTGTGGCATCACATCCATTCCTCTCAGTGGAGCCTGTACCAACCACAGACAGTGATCCATTTGGTCTGACACCAGCTACTGTTGAGAACATTGTTCCAAATCTTGATGCTTCAGATGCACTCCCCTCAGTGGAGCCTGTACCAACCACAGACAGTGATCCATTTGGCCTGGCATCTCCTGGTGAGAACACTGATTCAAATCTTGTGGCATCAGATGCATTCACCTCAGCGGAGACAGAACAAACAACCGACAGTGATCCATTTGGCCTGCCATCAAGTGAGAGCAGTGTTCCAAATCCTGTGGCATCTGATGCATTCACCACAGTGGAGCCTGTACCAACAACCGACAGTGATCCATTTGGCCTGCCATCAAGTGAGAGCAGTGTTCCAAATCCTGTGGCATCTGATGCATTCACCACAGTGGTGCCTGGACCAACCACAGACAGTGATCCATTTGGTCTGACATCAAGTGAGAACGGTGTTCCAAAGCTGGAGGTATCAGATGCATTTCCTTCAATTGAGACAGAACAAACAGGAGACAGTGATCCATTTGGCCTGGCATCTCCTGGTGAGAACACTGATTCAAACCTTGTGGCATCAGATGCATTCCCCTCAGTTGAGCCTGTACCAACCACAGACAGTGATCCATTTGGTCTGACATCAAGTGAGAGCAGTGTTCCAAAGCAGGAAGCATCAGATGCATTTCCTTCAATCGAGACAGAACAAACAGGAGACAGTGATCCATTTGGCCTGGCATCTCCTGGTGAGAACACTGATTCAAACCTTGTGGCATCACATCCATTCCCCTCAGTAGAGCCTATACCAACCACAGACAGTGATCCATTTGGTCTGACACCAGCTACTGTTGAGAACAGTGTTCCAAATCTTGATGCTTCAGATGCACTCCCCTCAGTGGAGACAGAACAAACAGCAGACAGTGATCCATTTGGCCTGGCAACTCCCTCTGGTGAGAAGACTGATTCAAATCTTCTGGCATCGTATCCATTCTCCTCAGTGGAGCCTGGACCAACCACAGACAGTGATCCATTTGGTTTGCCATCAAGTGAGAACAGTGTTCCAAAGCTAGAGGCAGCAGATGTGTTTCCCTCAGTAGAGACAGAACAAACAGCAGACAGTGATCCATTTGGCCTGGCAACTCCTTCTGGTGAGAACACTGAGACAGATCTGGGTGCATCAGATGCATTCCCCTCAGTGATGTCTGGACCAACCACAGACAGTGATCCATTTGGTCTGACATCAGCTACTGTTGAGAACATTGTTCCAAATCTTGATGCTTCAGATTCACCCCCAGCAATACAAACAGTAGACAGCAATCCATTTGGCCTGGTAACTCCTTCTGGTGAGAACACTTTCACAAATATTGTGCCATCAGATGCATTCCCGTCAGTGAGACCTGGACCAACCACAGACAGTGATCCATTTGGTTTGACATCAAGTGAGAGCAGTGTTCCAAATCTAGAGGCAGTAGATGTGTTTCCTTCAATTGAGACAGAACAAATAAAAGACAGTGATCCATTTGGCCTGGCATCCAGTGAAAACACTGAGACAAATCTTGGGGCACAAGATATGTTCGCCTCAATAGAGACAGAACAAACAGCAGACAGTGATCCATTTGGCCTGGCATCTCCTGGTGAGAACACTGATTCAAACCTTGTGGCATCAGATCCATTCACCACAGTGGAGCGTGGACCACCCACAGACAGTGATCCATTTGGTCTGACATCAGCTACTGTTGAGAACATTGTTCCAAATCTTGATGCTTCAGATGCACTCCCCTCAGTGGAGACAGAACAAACAGCAGACAGTGATCCATTTGGCCTGGCATCTCCTGGTGAGAACACTGATTCAAATCTTGTGGCATCAGATGCATTCACCTCAGTGGAGCCTGTACCAACAACCGACAGTGATCCATTTGGCCTGACATCAAGTGAGAGCAGTGTTCCAAATCCTGTGGCATCTGATGCATTCACCTCAGTGGAGCGTGGACCACCCACAGACAGTGATCCATTTGGCCTGCCATCAAGTGAGAGCAGTGTTCCAAATCCTGTGGCATCTGATGCATTCACCACAGTGGAGCCTGTACCAACAACCGACAGTGATCCATTTGGCCTGACATCAAGTGAGAGCAGTGTTCCAAAGCTGGAAGCATCAGATGCATTTCCTTCAATTGAGACAGAACAAACAGCAGACAGTGATCCATTTGGTCTGGCATCTCCCTCTGGTGAGAACACCTTGACAGATCTGGGTGCATCAGATGCATTCCCCTCAGTAGAGCCTGTGCCAACCACAGACAGTGATCCATTTGGTCTGACATCAGCTACTGTGGAGAACATTGTTCCAAATCTTGATGCTTCAGATGCACTCCCCTCAGTGGAGACAGAACAAGCAGCAGACAGTGATCCATTTGGCCTGGCATCTCCTGGTGAGAACACTGATTCAAATCTTGTGGCATCAGATGCATTCACCTCAGTGGAGCCTGTACCAACAACCGACAGTGATCCATTTGGTCTGACATCAAGTGAGAGCAGTGTTCCAAATCCTGTGGCATCTGATGCATTCACCACAGTGGAGCCTGTACCAACAACCTGGACAGACAGTGATCCATTTGGCCTGACATCAATTCCTTCAATTGAGAGAACAGTGTTCCAAATCCTGTGGCATCTGATGCATTCACCACAGTGGAGCCTGTACCAACCACAGACAGTGATCCATTTGGTCTGACATCAAGTGAGAACATTGTTCCAAAGCTGGAGGCATCAGATGCATTTCCTTCAATCGAGACAAAACAAACAGCAGACAGTGATCCATTTGGCCTGGCATCTCCCTCTGGTGAGAAGACTGATTCAAATCTTGTGGCATCACATCCATTCCCCTTAGTGGAGCCTGTACCAACCACAGACAGTGATCCATTTGGCCTGACATCAAGTGAGAGCAGTGTTCCAAATCCTGTGGCATCAGATGCATTCTCCTTCGTGGAGCCTGGACCACCCACAGACAGTGATCCATTTGGTTTGACGTCAAGTGAGAACACTGTTCCAAATCTGGAAGCATCAGATGCATTTCCTTCAATTGAGACAAAACAAACAGCAGACAGTGATCCATTTGGCCTGGCATCTCCTGGTGAGAACACTGATTCAAACCTTGTGGCATCAGATCCATTCACCACAGTGGAGCGTGGACCACCCACAGACAGTGATCCATTTGGTCTGACATCAAGTGAGAACACTGTTCCAAAGCTGGAAGCATCAGATGCATTTCCTTCAATTGAGACAAAACAAACAGGAGACAGTGATCCATTTGGCCTGGCATCTCCTTCTGGTGAGAACACCTGGACAAATCTGGGTGCATCAGATGCATTTAAATCAGTGGAGCCTGGACCACCCACAGACAGTGATCCATTTGGTCTGACATCCAGTGAGAATTCTGAGACAAATCTTGGGGCACAAGATATGTTCCCATCAATAGAGACTGGAAAAACAGCAGACAGTAATCCATTTGTCCTGGCAACTCCTTCTGACAAGAACACCTTGACAGATCTTGGGGCATCTGATTCACACCCTTCAGTGGAACCTGGAAAGGCAGTGGATAGTTTTCCATTTGGCTCAGCATCTTCCCAGGACGACACTGTTCACAGTACTAGTGAGCAAATTTTCTCAGCAGAGACCAGTCAGGTGTCAGACAGTGATCCATTTGGCCTGACAAATCCCTCCCAGAATGATACTGTTCCAAATCTTAGTGCATCAAATACATTCCCTCCTTTAGAGACAGCTCAGATGGCTGACAGTAATCCTTTTGGCCTGATATCACAGGTTGAACCAAGTAGACTTGAGACTGGTGACATGTTTGACGTCAGCCCTGGTAGTAATGTGGAGACTGGCACCAGTCATCAGAACCCCATGACAGATTCTGGGATGTTATTAGACTTCATGCAATCTGGTTCTGAGGCACCATCTCGGACAAACAGTGGCATCTCAGCCGACATGTTCGGATCCTCACCAGATTTTACATCTCCCTCATCTACTCAAGACTTCGAGCCAATCAGCTGCTGATACAAAAGAATCTGACCAATCAGTATTGTTGGATATGTTTGAAAAACCACCTAATACCCAAAACATTGAGCCACAAAGCAGTGACACTTCTTCACTTGTTGATCTTTTTTAAGATACCCTTTGTTCAATAAGAAAAACACATGGGAGTATCAAAACAGCCTTTGACACTTAACAAATGTTTTTTAGCTGTTTGTTTTTCAGATGGGGCATATTACTTAAATATTCATTCATACAAGAGGAATTGTTGAAAAAAAAAATTATACTGTGAATAAGATTTAAAATACATGTAAATATAGTCCAGACTTGGGTAATTTAACAACAAAAAATGTCTGAACTAAAAATTACCTTTTTATTCACCACTGTTCCATAATTATGTAATCTTGTTTTCACTGAGAGGTATTGTTGACCTTGTCTCCATCTGTAACAGCTGTTCCCAGAGAGAATGAAGCGGTTGGTTGAAAGACAGTTCTCTGTTGAACACTACGCAATGTTTTGTTTATATTATCTATTTCCTCATTCCCTATTTTTTCTATACAAAGTAGTCAAATATTTACAACTCTGAAATAGATATACTTGTTATGTGATAAGACACAGCGCAGTTTAACCAAAGGTGTATCGCAACCGAAATCCTATCTGTTTTATTCATACTTCCTCGTATTACTCAAGCTGTTGAACGTGTGAACTCATGGTTGAGATTGACACAAAGACATTCTTCATTACTGAATTCACCTCTTGATAGTAGGTGAGTGTTAGTACAAATAAATACATTAACTTGTCCAACCAATTGTTATATGCAAAATGTTCAAGAAATATTATGACTAGGTGTATACAACTTTGCCTTTTTTCGTTTTTCTAACAGAATACATATTACTTCCCTTATAAACAAAATACTCAAAATTTGCTTAGTACCAGTCCTTTGACTTAAGACGGCAAACTTGGTCCTGAGCAAATATTGAGTAGTCGAGATGTCATCTGTCTTTGTATGTTAATTATCCAATTTCCACCCATTTGTATGGTTTGCTCTCATAACAAGTCTTGGATCCTTTACTTTACGATCTTATGTTCTGCACTTTTTGTCTTTGTTGTATAAATAATTTAGGTTTTGTGGCCAAGATCACATGTCATAGGATGTTCTGAGAAGCAATGACAAGCTGACGAAGTGAGGTTTTTTATTTCTGTTAGTGCAACTTTCTGATGTTTAATCTTCATATGGCAGACTTTGATAAAACTGTTCACTAGTTTATGAAATAATCTGTTTATTAGCAGTGTCACCTTGAATCCATAGCACATATATACATTTTATGGCATTAGTTTAGTTTGTGAGTCTATGTTAGTGATTGCTTATCCATGATAGTTCTACGGTTGTGCTTCAAGTTCATATTAGTTGTCCATGTACTACTTTTGTAAATGTAATAGTTTCCTGTATACTAATATTCAGTTGGGGTGTTGAGTCATCTCAAGGTTGTCGTGATCGATTGTGAGCATGCTTATAAATTGATTTAATTACTGATTATGAACGCATAATATACGATGTGTTGTGTTAATTCTGATTGGGTATGTTAATTAGCTTGCAATGTGGTTTCTTTACCAGTGTTGATAATCTGTTTTGCTTGAAGCTTGTTGATCGATTCATCTACCCAATGCATGTGCAATATAATCCAAAATACAGATCAGTGATCATCCAATGTTTGGAAAATAGGACATGATTTCCATGTTCGCATTCATCCGATTTAATTCCTGGAATATGAAATATAAAATAACTAAAATAATGGTTCATTTAAATACATTTCATTGCAGTTAAACCATTTTCATGTAGGAGGTTTTAATGTCTTGAAGGATGAATTCTTAACTGGTTATTGTTAGTGTCCGTGTTGGTGGAATGGCACTTGTTCTAGTCAAGTAGAAAAAGGTGCTGAGGTTTTAAATGTTATTCATTGAAAGTCAGAAGTGGTTTTAGAACAGATAGTCCATGGTAGTGTTTTTTCATATGTTTCCCTTCACAGCACAGAATATTCACATGTAGGAGTTTTGTAGGCAACACCTATGTGTACACGCGAAGTAATCAGTTTATGTATAGTCATATATAGGTCATAACTTGTATTATGGTGCTGTTACATTGATATTCTTTACAGCAAAACTATGTATGGAATGATAATAGAACAGTAACTGAAATAATGGTATTTCCAGTACATAGTGATCACAAGCTGTTATTAATTCAATTGTTCTTCGATAAGTGACAATAAATATAAGCATTTGAATGGATTCAATTAGCTTCCATTAATGTTATTATAATTAGATAATATTCATTTCAAATCTGTCCTTGACTATGTTTCAAAGTACTTACTGTCAATTTTCTTCACTAGTTCACATTTCACTTCTCTTCACAAATCTCATATTCTTTGGAGCTGTGGTCTTTTTGAGTCACCCTGTTTATCGGATGCGATTCTAAACTATAAAGACAATGATCGAGATGCAATAAAAAGAAAAATACCGGTAAATTTTAAAAGTGATTTCTGAACAGAATTGTTAGTTGATTGAATTGATTTGAAAAAGTCTAGGAGAATAAAATAATCAAAAGAAACTCCACCTCCAAATGTCATCCTCTGCATCTGCAGGGAAGAAAATATAAATTTTCATGTTTTCAATTTCTTTTTTCACCTTTGTGAATATTTGGGCAGGTGGATGTGTAAAACCTAATTATTAAAAAATATATGCATTTGGTGTGTCTTGGTATATAGTTAATGCATTGAATATGAACTATTATCCTCACCCACCTGTAAATACAGTATTGGTTCATTGTATCAATCATGCCTTGATATGTATAATACAAATCACTTTCATGGATGATAACTACAGTATAATGGTTGTTCAGTTTTACTACTATTGTGGTGTAACAACTATAAGTTATGCATTATTATCATATAGGTTGTGAGATTGTATTGAGTCTGCTAGTATTTAAACAAGTTTGTATGCTATATGACGTACTGGTCATTGTTATAGTGGTCGTGGAAGTACTTTCCTCCATTGCCCAGCCATAGTACATGATTAATTGGTGAGTAAAATTTTCAAGTTTAGTTGCCTTATTATTCCAGGTCATACCCCTAAATAACATTGTGTATGTGTAAAATATAGACATTTCTAAGGACCATTTGATTCTTTCATATTACTTAATACATTATTCATGACTATTGTTTAGTTTTGTAATATGAACGAATCATATTTTTTCAACTTTGGTAGGTAAGAACTTTAAATTTGGACATTATCTGTTAGTTTCAATCCCTTCCCCTGTACTGCCCCTCTGTTGATGTTTGATGATAAAGTGTGCTCAAACTGCATTGTATTAAGCTAAACCTCTAAATGTAGCTTTTTAAATTGATCATGGTAGGGAGTGTAATGTAGTTTTGTTAAAAAGCATCATAGATACTTTTTTTTATAGAAAAACAAACAAATATTTCATTTATGTTGTGATACCATACTTTCCTGGAAATTGGCATTTTATAATGTCTTCACTTTGCATATATTCATTTTACAATATCATTTAACTGGATTACAATATTTACATTTACTTTATTTACATCAAAATGCTGTCGGTGATTTATGCGTGTCCCCTTTCTTATATGAAATGGTTGAAATTTCAGAGTTGAATTTCCTCAAACATATCATTTTAAATGTTGATTTATGTATTAATCACTGATGTTAATAGTACTGATTTATATTTATTTACAGTCTGTGTCCTTGACTCTATAAATCAAGTGCCAATAAACCCACTGATTGTCATGGCCATTTGTTGCTGTTGTCTTTGTGGGAGAATATTCAGCAGATCCTGTAACGTGAGGGAGGGAGCATGGGAATGAGCATACCAGCCTGAAAAAAGGTTTAGGTCCACATGAAGTGAGTGAGTATGGTTTTACGCTGCTTTTAGCAATATTCCAGCAATATCACGGCGGGGGACACCAGGAATGGGCTTCACTCATTGTACCCATGTGGGGAATCGAACCCGGGTCTTTGGGGTGACGAGCAAACGCTTTAACCACTAGGCTACCTCACTGCCCTCTACATCAAGGGTGGCGGTGGGGTAGCCTGAGTGATTAAAGCTAAATCATGCCATGCCGAAGGTGGAGTTCGATTCCCCTCATGGGTACAATTTGTGAACCCCATTTGTGGTGTCCCCTGCCGTGATATTGCTGGAATATTGCTTAAAATGGTGTTAAACTATACTCAATCTACATCAAGGCATACCTGTGGCTAATAATGATAATACTGGACATTTATGGAGCCCCTGTATCCATGCACTTGTGCATGTTCAAAGCGCTAAGACATTGTTACCCCTGGTTAACCCAAGCTGCCTGGGAGGCACATCACTATATGGCTCATCCAACCAGGTACCCATTCACTCTTGAGTAAACAGAGGCAATTTTAAACAAACTGCCTAAGGTGAGACCACGTGTGCCTTGTGGGGCAGGACTGAAGTCCTAGAAACGCTCATGAGTCAAGCTGCCAAACATGGTCACCCATCCAATAGCATGAGCACCAATCAGTACTGAGTTTGACATACAATCCACAACTGCATATAATACAACAACTCAATCCTCCTCAGTTGGCTATTCCAACAAGCTGTGCTTGTGACCTTCTCTTGATTCCAGCGGTGTTCAATATCAAAAATGGTCTGCTGGTCTGAGTCTCGTGTATGTTTTAAGGAACAGTAGTATGTAATAAACGATGGTCTAGGTGTGTGTGATTGAGGGGATGAAACAAAGCTATTTATGTATGATTTTAGAATTAGTGATAGGTCAGGTCTAGACTCATGAGAAAAACCAGAACCTATACATGGTACAAAGGTTACCTTCGGACTGGTTTATCATTCTAACAGTGCACACCCAATTTTATAACATACACCTCTACTTGGGAGTCACTGTGAATGTCAGCCCACATCACATTAATTCTCCTGGCTTGATTATTGAACAACAGTAGGCAACTAAACATCAACAATAATCTTTCAACAGAGTCAGATAAGTGAATTTTAGAGTTGCATCAAAAATGGACATAACATCTTCATGAGCCATGTTGTCAACACAATCAATCTTGACTATTGTTGGTTTGTTGTTTAACGCTGCACCTGGCAATATTCCAGCTATATGGCAGCAGACTATAAATTATTGAGCATGGACCAGACAATCCAGTGATCAACATCATGAGCATTGATCTAAGCAACTGGGATATGATGACATGTACGAGAAGTCAACCAAGTCAGCGAAACTGACCACCCGATCCCGTTGGTTGCCTCTTACGACAAACGGGTCAGAGCAAATTGACGTTGGACAAATTGTTGTGCTTCAGGAGTGAGTGAGGGAGTTAAGTTTTATGCTGCACTCAGCAATATTCCAGCGGTCTGTAAATAATCCTGTCTGGACCAGACAATCCTGTGATCAACAGCATGAGCATCGATCTGCGCAATTGGGATACGATGACATGTCAACCAAGTCAGGGAGCCTGACCACCCGATCCCATTAGTCGCCTCTTACGACAAGCATGGGTTACTGAAGATCAATATTCTAACCCGGATATTCACGGTTTTGTGCTTCAGGAACATCATTAAGCAATCAGAACGAAACACACAAACAGTTGATTATTTATTTTACAGTAACAGATTAATACATGGAATGGACATAATCTGGAATGTTTTGTAAAGTTATGAAGACAAATGATGTTCCACCTAACAGGAGCTAGCCATGTTATATGTATGAGGTGGTTTAATGCCATTTTCAACAGTATTTCAGTCATAAAATGACACGTCAGTTTAAATTGGGAGGAACCCCCGAAAGCTGACAAACCTAGAAACAAGGTCAGACAGAATCTGGGATTCAAACCCATCATCCTGTTCTGACACTTTGATTTGTCACCTTACACCACTAGGCCACCAATGCCATGTTATGTCCAAACGTAGCTAGAATGCAACATTATAGCAAACAAGAAGTTCTTTCAATCCCTCCGCCTTCAATAGATCAACACAACATGGCCTACCTAAAATATAACGGATAAAAACATCTTCACAACAGCTTTATCAACATCCAGTTCAAATAACATGAATCCTGTCAAATCAAACTCCAAGAATGAGCAACAGAAAGGTGGACTCGAAAGGGACACCAGGGGCCGTATTTATAAAAATTCTCAGAAATTTCTTAAGAATACTCTTAAGTCGCTAAGAAAATTCTCAGCTAAGAATTACACTTAAAAGTGTAGTTATAATGACTGAGCGTAACTCTTAGAGCTGACATTGGTCGTAACCAGGGGATTCCCTGTGCTATATTTAGAATTTTAGAGAAATGGGCTTGATACTTTGCACCTATGTGATGAATCGACTCAGGTCATCAGCATGACAAGGGAATGCTTTAACCACTTGGCTACACGATCGCCCAATTTGGTCACAAAAGATGATGTCACTTCTCAAGCAAAGCTATGAAGGGGAGTGGGTGCATGGTATGTCTATAATAGTTTCCAGATGGAGGTACACTGGGTGGTCAAGGGTGGTTGTCGCCTTTTGTGACAAGCATGGGTTGCTGAAGACCTATTCTACCCCGGATCTTCACAGGTCGAATCGTCAAGGGTGGTTGAAGGGAGAGGGATTGGAAAGATTTCTTGATAAAGCCATGCTCTTGTCATTGCTTGGACAAAGGATTTCCCCGGAGTTCTGACATAATATTGCACATGAATGTGAAGATAATGGTAATTATACATACATCTCACATGATTATAAAAGGATAATTTTTACAATTAATAGAACAATACATCATCATGTGGAGAGGTGTTTTTAATAATTCTGACCTTCCACAGGCATGGCAACGTATCATAACTTTTTGTTTCCTGTATGAGGTGTGCTGAAGACTGTACTACGATGTATTTATGTGATACTAGTATTCAATCAAAAATGAAACATACTTTATATAGGCACTACTTTCAGTCTGCCTCAATGACACTATGGTTTTTAGGGCAAGTCTCTGATCACAAACAAAAATCTAAAACAGGATGGCCACTTTGATAACACTACTCATATACTTTATCATCTAAATTACTCTTCTAAGGTGTTTCATAAATCTCTCTTATTTCTAGCCCATGGAAGATACTGCAGTGTAATATATTTACAGCAATATTACACTAGTGTAATACCGCTAGACGTATGACGTCATAATGGTTTACAGTTATGACGTCACAATGCTAATACCTCTGTCACAATGGTATTAGACCTTGCTTGACTCTGGAAAGCCGAGTCATCACACTATGTAGGCAGTTTTTATCACTTTATGTTGGAGAGTAATAAACAGAATACTAAACTCGCTTCCGTGAAATACCATTTTTATCAAACTCGTGAATGATTTAGCATAAAACTCATTTTCTCTCGTTTGATACCAAATCATTAACTCGATTAATAAAAATGGTATTACACGGAAGGTGGTTTAGTATCCTCTATAAATCTAAGGTTTCATAACCCCAAAAATATTTTCTGTGACAGGGTCCTACAACTGTTTCTGCCAAGTTCACACAAGCTGTATCTTTTACAAAAATATCTTCAGTCACTGAGAAACACATTTTCATGAGATAGTTGTATTCAGATGAAGGGCATGTGATCTGCAAGGTGAAGCTTTTGTGTGGCAAAATCAGTATTCAGGAAATACAAATATGATTTGATTTGAAGGGCGAGGAATAGCCCAGAAACGTTGTGACATACAATAAAGAAGAAGCTGTCATCTATAATATTTGCGTTGTACTTCAAATTAATGTCATTTCATTCTGTTCTTGAGATGTTCATCACCAACACTATCTAAACTTGACAACCAACCATGAAATCATCTTATGCTATTTCACAAGAATTGAGGAGAGTTATGAGAGGCAAAAGCTGCCTTATCCTGGCCCTTACAAATATCATATCCTCAAAAGAGTTTCAGGAAATAGATGGCTAACTCTATGAGAGTGCAAAGTGAAAAAAACAAAATTTCATAAAACCATTCCTTCAATACTTCCTAACAATAAAACATTTATAAAATTACAGGAAAGATATATTAATGTATCTTGAAATTGTGTTAATAACACATTTAGGGACCTGAGTTCCTATATGCTTCAAGAATGGTAAACTCTTAATATTGACATACAGTCATCTACATGCTATAATTTGAACCATCAAATATTTACACATATGCTCGGTAGGTTACCGTTCACATTATTTAGCATAAAGATGTTTCCACTATTCACAGCCATGATAAACATAAAACTTGATGAAATTAAAAGAATAATAACAGAAACATAATAACAGCTCCGTATTATTGCCACTTGGTATACTTGATAGCCATGTGCCACGAAATGTACATAATTATCTTCCAAAGCATTAAAAGCCACTGGAAATTTTTGAATTTGACTTTAGGAGATCCCTGCAATTCATTTCTTACTCCCTACTAGTATGAACTTTGCTGATTATCAGACAACATATCCTGGTTCATCCTACAATCTAGATCAAATAAATAGATCTTTAGGCTATAAGACAAATCCACGGTTCATTCAGACCTAGTGACCTTTGACACAAACTGACTTGACGAGTGGGTGGGTAAGTGAGATGGGTTTTACACTTCTTTTAACGGTCTACTCCCATTTGTGAGAACTCCCAGTTGTGAGACTCCCAGTTGTGAGACAGTGGAGTAGGTAATTAACAACGAAAACACACCATACTCCCCTGTCTGATAGAATGGATTCACCCTAGCTAATTACTGATTTGCTATGTAACTGAATCTTGTGGAGGTTACTTCATGAAACTTTATAAGATAAATTGATTAACTTACTCATGTAAATGTCTTTAATAATTAAACACTTTGTGTAGGTAACTTCGTGATCAAAGAGAAATTAATTTACCTACTCAGATTTACGGCCGATAAGTATAACAGACATTTAATAGACAGTGCATGTTGCTCTTGTGGATATCAACTACCCGTTATAACCAGGATAATTTTTTGAACGGAAACAAAGAATTTACTCCTTGTGTAAACCAGAAAATATTTGAATCCTTCCACGATTATATCATCAAGACACAACCTTCAAATTTTCACAGGGAAATACTGAAATTAACTCAACAACCTTCTCGTGATTGATTTATATTCCTACATAGCTTGTTAGACACACACAACTGTAAGTCTCTAATTATGACTACTTAGAGAATAGTTGTATTTGATGTAATCTGTATATATTTATATGTACTTAAAAATATATTTATGCAATAGTCAATATCGATGACGTCACATCCTCCATTTCATTTTATATTTTATGTTGCATGGGAGCGGTGTTAACATAAGCAGTAATACTTCACCAATCCCAATTCATTTTCATAAATAATAATAAAATATGTTTAAACCGAAATGACTTTCAAACTTCATAATAGTCAATAAAAATGTGTTATCATAATTACATATTCTTCTGAATAACTAAAATATTCAATGAACTATTTCTTCTGTGTAAATATAATCTTTGATAATCTATTTCATTAGTCAACTCATCAATGAACTATGCCTCCTGTGGGTACTGGGCTGGGCTGATCCCACTTTCATTGTAGGGATGTGGAAACACCACCTATGTGCACTGAACCATTAATTAATGTGTCTCACAACTGGGAGTTCTCACAAATGGGAGGACACCCTTTTAACAGTCGTTGAGTTCATGCCAGAGGGAAGCAGGTCTCAAGACCTTAGTGAAGTTGACACATTAAGCACACTGTACAATGTGTACTGACTGATAACAACTTAACCTGCAACTAACAATTCCTCTGCCTTGTAACAAGGATCTATAAGAGTGCATAGAGGATAAGGTTTCAAGTCCTTTTCATTACATGTAGGATACCCGGAGAAATTGACCAGTTCATATCTCCCAATAAAAACCTGTTATAATAAAAGCTATCTTCTGTTATAAGTGCTACTGTGTATATCAGTGTTTCTGAATGTCCCTTGAATTTTATTTCAGTTCTCTTTGACAGAGGTCCCTTCTATTTCAGTACACATACTGCTGAACTAATTCAGTGCACCAAGATCACATCTATATTATGATATAAGTGTTCATATAGAAGCCCTATATTCACTGTAGATAAGGGAATCCTGGGGTTCCTTGGGATCAAGGCAATGTCCCGTTGACTTCAATACCAAATTTGAAACACTGGTAAGAGTTCTACCAAAGCCAAACCCTGAAATATCTTTTGTCTAATTCACAAAATGCCCTGTTTCCCCTCCCTCTTCCATATTATAACAAGTCCCTGAGCATCACAGGAAGCTAGCAGGCTCTCATCACAGTTGAAGCAGACGTCTAGAACTGGTGCCGAGTGACCAAGCAGTTTGTTCACACACGACTTGGACTCTTTGGTTATGTCGAAGAAATAAACACACATGTCCTCACTCCCCGACACTGGAAAGGAAAACAGCAGTGTTTCAGTTCCTACATGACAGGTCAGCTCGATGTGGGAGACAAGAAGTGATGCAGGTTTTAGATGTTTAAATTTTGGGGAAACCAAGGAAGATCAGTATGGTTCTGATCAAACAAGATTTATAGTCAGGGTAAATCTAGGATTCAAACAAAATCACAGGATTCTTACACTACTAAGGGAAACAACTCTGCAAACTAAAATGTGACACCTTGAATAAGTGAATATTTGACTCATTTAAGATTAGTCTTGAAGAAAGTACAACCATAAAGACATGAATACATACTATTTCTTCATGAAATAACTGAATTCATTAAAAAGAATAAATGCACCAACAGACTGATTATGAGATAAAATTACTGCTAGTTGCCATGTTTACAGAATTACCCACCAACACAAGCACCCTGTCTGAAGGACATGAGAGGACAGAAAGTACTCTTGATGTGATGGGTTCTCTGTTTGATAGGAAATGACTTCTTCAGTTGTAATGCTCCATCATTAGATATAATTCTGCAAGCAGGAAATGATAATGGCATTAAAGCACTTCAAGATCTTATATTATTTCATGAATTTTTAAACAGCATGTTAGTTATGTCACATACACTCATCAGTGTTTCCTTAATTCAGTTTGACAACCCACTTATACCACACATGACTGAACCAATGCTGTGACACTTTGGTAGACCCAAAGAGTGGATGTTCCTCTGGGCCATTGTAAAATTGAGAGACAGAGATCGTGTACTCACATATATATGTTCAGCTCTAATTCCAATTAGGTGTGTTTAAATCTATAGGTTAGCAAGCTCTAAATTCAAAACATAGTACGTTTATCTCAAAATGGTATATTGGTTAGAGTTTCTGGTTTTCAGAACTACAATGAACAGCATAATAAGATGCTGTCACTTGTTAACATGAACTGTTGCCCTGATAAATTGATAAAACATTTACTGGCCATGAATCCCCTTCTGATATTTGCAGTTGAGGGGCAAGTAAACACAAAATGATTCCAGTATTCATGCAAAATTTTGTTAAGATGCAAGACTGACTGACTGACTGACTGAGTTTAGTTTTATGCCGCTTTTAGCAATATTCCAGCAATATCACGGCAGGGGACACCAGAAATAGGCTTCACACATTGTGCCCATGTGGGGATCGAACCCGGGTCTTCGGCATGACGAGCCAACGCTTTAACCACTAGGCTACCCCACTGCCCCTAAGATGCAAGAAGAATACAGGCAATGACAACATTCAGATGCATGTACTTATTGTGAACAGGTCATCTATAGTTGCCTGGTCTGAATCCAGCTTGCTTTGAAACATCTCAGCAAACATGCTATGTACACAAACAAGCTTTCAAGACTACACAGCTGTACAGGTGATTAATAGTTACCTGAAGAGACACAGTGAGTTGAGACAACAGTTGACTAGGAGGGAGGGATCTCGGGGCTTCACGGTTGATCCATGCTCGCGCCGATATACTTGTGATTGGCTGGCCATCACACACTGTGATCCTGAAATATATCACCCAACAGTGTTCATGCGAAAAAGCCATTACACGTCACATCGTAAATTTGTTGCCATTACACGTCACATCGTAAATTTGTTGTCAAGTGTATGGTTACAACCATGTTTGGCAACTATCAATCAAAAGCTAGACGAATCAGTATGACATCCACCCATATCCTAAACCTTCTACAACCTCAGAAATAAACAGAAGAAGAAGAAGAAGAAGGGTTTGTTTTGTATAAAGGCCATCAGCCCATCACAAGGTGGTACAATAGTGGTTTTGGTTACCATTTTCATACAACATCGCTAACAGGAGCAGAATAAACATGTTCTAAGAACTTGATAAAATTATTTATGATGTTATTGTCGGGTGATGTACATATGCTGTGGAGAGAATAGTAATATCCATGGACCATTTTCGGAATGTAACACCGACGCATATCCTCATAGCGTTTACAAATATAGACAATATGGATTTCATCCTCAATACTTTTACAGTGTTTACATAACACAATATCATCATTGCAGGAGGCAGTACCTCTTCTAATATATTTGATACCTACTGCATTACACCCTGATCTAAATAATGTGAACAGAAGCTTGCACTTATTACTAATAAACAAATACAATACTATCAAGTGACTTCTTTGATCTCTATAGTGGTACATGTCATACAATTCAAATCTCTGATTACAATTATTTTTGTGAATCTGTAACAATAATTATTGTTCTATAGATAACAGTTTTACATCATGGGTGGCCATGTGCGCTGACACACCCACCCACAAATTCTTTTTGGCTGAGACGACAAATGACAAATGACTGTTAGATAAAGGGAGATAATTATCACTCATCAGTTACCTCCCCTGTCCTAAATACTGCTGTGATATATTTAAAATACCACTGTAACAGAATTACCTGCGTGTCTTTGTGAGTTTACCAGTTGCTACATCCAATGTGAAGGAGAAGATGGAACCCCTCTCATCTCCTGCCCACAAGATGCGGCCACTCGAGTCAAACGCCAGACAGTGCACTCTGCCTGTCACCTTGCTACTACCTCCCTGGCAACATAACATTATCAACAACATTTTTAAAGGGTGAACTTTTTGTTATTTCTACCAAAATAAAAATGCTTATTAAATTATTTTTTACTGAGGATAGAAACAAATAATGAACATCAAGTGCAGAACATATCTTCAAAATTGCCCGTCATATTTCATGAGTTCCATGTGATGGGACGTGACATGGTTTATAGTAAAGCCATGTATGCTGCAACTACAGGGTATATAGCAGAATAAGACAAGAGATCCTGAGAGCATGTTCATGTTTGTGGTGTGGAGTACCAGCTTACCTTGTATCCTTTACCTGTTGACATGTTCATCACCTGTACATGACCTCTGCTACTGCCAGTCTGAGAGGTGGTTAAGAAAAAATACCACAATTGCTGCTGGATTTCTATTTCTGGGGCTGTAACTGATACCAGGCACCATCTGTGTATATGCTCAAAGTGACTTACACATTTTGTAAACTAAAACAAATCATACTAGATCATGTAAATCATAAAACCAACTTGAGGTGACGTCATTCTGGTTTTAACATTACAGTGGAATCTGTCAAATCCGGACTCTGTGTAATCCGGTTTTCTCCATAATCTGGACTACTCTCTGAGTCCCGGCAAAATTATTCTTAATTTATCATTAAAGTCTGCTTTATAATCCAGACTCTCTCAATTACAAATTACAGACTAAAATAACAGTCCCGACAATCAACTTGCTATGAGAACAATGCTTTGTAAGCTCGCGTACCAATCTGTCGAATTTCTGATTTCAGAGTAGTAAAATGCATTTGACAGATGAGCACTGTGATCTTAGCTATTAATTAGTTATCAAAACATTGGATCATAGAAAAAAAAAATCGCAAGGGATGTTGGATGGTTTGACTCTCTTTATTTTTGTACTTTTGAACTTATCTTGGCCTACTCATATAATACAATGAGAAATTGATGCATTAAAATGTAATTTTCTGAGTAAAATTGATATTTTATACTTATCCTGACTCATGTATTATTGCTTGTCTCCTTCCTTTCCTAACGTTAGTGGAACACTTGTATCTCCTTTTTGAAGCTCCCTTCAATAAAGCAGACGTAAAATCACTACTCACCACGAGTTGTCTCCCTCTCGGTTTTGACGGGAAAACGGCGCCACCCGTCTTCCCAAGCTTCACTCTCTCCGAATTGCTAGCCCGACACTTCGATTTACAGGGAAATCCAAAGTGCCTAGCGGGGAGGTTGGGAGGGCTTACCTCATGAGTCAGGAGAAGTATATAATATCAATTTTACTCAGAAAATTACATATTTTTCCTTATCCTGACTCATGTATTATTGCTTGTAGAATCCGACGGATCTGGTGGTGGGTCAATCCACTTCTGGATTCCAATTAGTGATTAACGTCTTGCATACCCCCCTATGGGAACTTCCTGGTAGCACTTCAATTTACTGCTAGGCTCTGCTGCTGCTGTAACCCTTTACTTCAGCTTTCTCTGATGGGGGGACCACAATTGTTAACTTTTGGTCCTTGCTTCTGTTAACATTTTTATGTGGATTTTTGCAACTCCATCTCTTGATGCAAGCATCAAGTGGAGAAGCGACCCTTCTTATGTGTACTGAATGCGTCCTTACAAGTACTGGGTCTTATCAATTATGCTAGTCTGTCTTAGACGTGCATATGGACTCTAAAGCTGTAACTCTCCTGAGTGTTGGCTTTTTGCAAGTCATGTGATAAAAGGGCGAGACTCTGTCTCAGCGCCTCTGTGGAACTGTCAATTGTTGTGCTACAACAAGTGGGCGAAATGGTGAATGCCAGAGGCGTCTTCAGTGGCTATGTCTCTCAGGTAGTGGTTGGCAAACACCATGTCCGATTTCCAAAAGCAGCCCTCCATTATCCTCGGATAGAGCAGTTTCCATGTAGAGCGAGTGTTGACGCCAGAGCTCTAATTTCATGTGGATTGGAGGCTCTTGGAGGATCAAGTCCTGCTGCTTTGTAGGCCCGTGAGAATGACAGTTCTCATCCATATTGATATCGTAGTGCGAGAGATCTCAGTCTGTGTCTCTGCCGATATAGGGATGAAAAGGCGGCTTGAATTTTCGCCTCTCCTGGTCCTAGACCTTTGTAGGTAGACTTTCAATGCTCTTACTGGGCACAAGGATAGGTCCTGTGTATCCTGTGGCCCAAGGACTGATGATAGTGCTGGGATGTGGAATTGTCTGTCCTGGTTGACCTGGCAGTTGATTCTTTGCTATAAAGTCCCATCTCAGTCCCATATGCACGATGTTTCGATTTTCATCAAATCGTGTCCTTTCAAAGTCTGGAGCATGTATTTCCAACCTCCTTGCTGCTGTTGCTAAGGCAATCAGGAACAGAGTTTTCTGTGTCAAGAACTCAAAAGATGTCCTATCTAATGGTTCATAAGCGTCACTGGTGAGATGCCGTAGAACTATGTTGAGGTCCCAAGCCGGAGCTTTAAATCTCTGTTGTTGGTCCTTCAGTTTAAAAGAGAGCAGTAAGGCCAGTAACTCTGGTACCTTAGTCAGTTTTACACTCGTCCTCATAGTGATAACTGAGCTCAATGCCGCTAGGTATGTTGAGAGTGTTGACCCTTTTAACCGCTTCGTTTGTCTAGGTGACAAAGATAGTCCGCCACTTGAGGGTGTGTCGCTTTCATGGCTGTGAATCCTGTTTTCAAAGCGTAGGTCTCAAAGCTTCGCCACTTGTCGCCGCATAAGTTGCGTGTTGACTTATGTAAAGCTAAGCGTGACGCTTTAGCTGCCCTGGCGAATATCCTCTCTTATTCAAGCACGCGTCTTGATACGGTCCATGTGTGTAGGCGGAACACCTTGGGGCTGCCGTGTGCTTGCTTTGTGTGTGGATGTACTAGCAAGTTCGTCCACTCTGGTAGTTGCAGTTGAGGCGGTCCTAGTTCTTGTATGAGAATGGGGAACCATATTCTCGCTGGCCAATAAGGCGCGATCAAAATCAGTTGCAGGTTCCTCGTCTGCATGATTTTCTGCAACACTTTCGGTATTAGAGCTGGTGGCGGAACGCAGCGTGGCGTTAAGTCCTTCCCAAGAGATGCTTAGAGCATCTGTTGCCCATGCTCCTGGATCTGGTATTGGAGAGACGAATGTTACCAGTTGATTGTTGAATCTTGCGGCAAACAAGTCTATTGGTGGCGCTCCTATCTCTTGTATGATCTGTTTGAAGATTTCTGGATGTAGCATCCATTCTGTTGGGGATGGCTGAGTTGGACGAGATAGTGCGTCTGCTATCACATTCTTGGCTCCTGGAATGTGGCATGCTTTATGTGGATGTTCAGATTGTCTGTTATGCTGAACCGATGAAAGCACAGGTTCAGAAGGTTCGCCGACCTTGTTGACCCTTGTTTGCTTATGTAGAACGCCACTGTGTAGTTGTCCGTGTGTTCCATTAGATGAGCATTTTATAGAATGCTGGTCCAGTGGAGTATGGCGTTTATCACTGCTTTCATTTCTAGCATGTTGATATGCAGATCTTTCTCTTGTAAAGTCCATTTCCCAGCTGACACTTCGTTGTCGAGGTGTGCTCCCCATCCTTGGAGAGATGCGTCCACATAGAGATGCGTTTTGCACTCCGGCTCTGCTAAGTAGGTGCCTCCGCAAACATTCGATCTCTGAGTCCACCATAGTAGATATGGTTTGAGTCTGTCCGGGAGTCCGAAGGGGTCCGGATCATCCAGATGTGCAATTACGAAGACCTGTAGTGGGCGTAGTTGTAATCTCCCTCTACACGTCATATCCTGTGCTGGCGGAGGAGACCCAACAGACTCTGCCACTGTCGGCGTGGCCACGGAGAGAGTAGAGCTTGCGATACCATCTGTTGTATCTTTAGCCAACGGTCCTCTGGTACTGCTATGCGGTTTTCTGTTGTGATGAGCCGAATTGCTAGGAACTGCAGGTCCTGTGTAGGCTCTAGTTCCGACTTGAGGACTGAGTAGGCTCTGCCAACTTCGTAGTAATAGCGGAGAGAGTAGTGCTTGAGATACAATGGCTTGTATCTAGATCCAACGATCGTGAAAGCCTTGCCATGTCCGTAAGGGAAACGAAGCAATGTCCGACTCTGTAACTGCCATCGTTGTGAAGTCTATATAAAGTAGACTGGCTGCCGTCACCAAAAGTGCGTCAAAAGTCAAACGCCTGATGAATCGTCTTCAATGCTGATAGGGAAGGTCTCTAACCCCGTGAAGACAGCCGAATCACGTAGTTCCCGTCTAACTGGACTGTAATTGAGGCCTTCCTCCCTCGTTGAAAGGTAGTTGTCACTTGCAAACAATTCCCTGACATGTGAACTACGTCCGACTTCTGCGCAGGGCGTTGTCTTCTCATGGACCAATCAAAATGAAGCATTTTGATTCCTTTAGCTTCCTGCGATGAGAGGTCCTTGTAGAATCTTGTGCAGTCATTGATATCTTATCAACACTCGGTCTTGTCCGTAGCCTTCCGGAGTTATACGAGTGACCACGTGTATAGAGGGTTGCATGGTAAACGCGCGAAAAGATTTCGCCGCGTAATACCGATGTAGGTAGGCTGTTTTCCTGGCTGCTGTGACTGTTACTTCAGACCTGAAGATAATGCAGTCGTCCTTTTATACAGATGATCAGCTGAAGTCTACACCTCCTCAGTGCTGCTACTTGTAGACTGTATTCATCAATCTCAATGAAGCGTCGTAAATTACCCTCTTTGTGTTGAAACACACAGGTCCTTGTAGAGTTGATGCTCAACTTTGTTGTAAGTTCTACAAAGGGAGTCGTTGATGATTTTGTAGTTTACATCAATCTCTGGAGCCTTTATGCAGGGTCCCATGTAAAGTAGCGGGAATTCCAAGACTTGAACGTTGGGAATATGTTGACTTTGTAACTTCATAGCCTTAGCAAGGCTGCTGCTGAACCACGCCAATGTGAATACCTGAAGATCTGTACGCAAGTGAAGATCTCTATATGGACATGAGTCCCGTTATTATCTTCTGATGTAGATATATCTATCTAAAATTTCTCAACGATGTGAATCCCGTCCTGGATTCAGTCTGAAGATCTGCGCAGGTGATGAATTCGGACAAGAGTACCCCTCTTGAACTTCAACACGTGTCCCTCCGTCTCCGTCTAAGAGGCGATCTGTATGGCGACCTGCGTGTAGGTGAGCGTCTTCTAGGCCGGGATTGCCTTCCTGGCAATGTATTCCTAAGTGGTGAATCCCGTGACGATCTGTGAGGTGTTGTTGACGCCCTTGAAGATTTCAGATGACCTTCGCGCAGGTGAGAGATTTTGTTGAGGGTCTGAGTCCCGAGACGTCTCTCTAGACCTTCTAGGTGGTGTGGGTTTCTT